TGGGAAGCAACCATGACTTCACTCTTTTTCTACAATCTCTTTGAAGTCTTTTAACGAGGAAGTTCATTGTTCGGGTAGGAGTGTTGAGACAAGATGAGAAGTTCGTAGATTTGGGTGGTACTAACTATGTGACATGAGTCACAGAGTACGATATTTGTTTGTAAGTACCTCCGCTGCATTCTAGAGGACTCTTACATTGCACATAGTAGACCAGAGTATTGATACATTGCACATAGTCTAGAGCAGATCAGATGATTGATACATTGCACAGAGTTCAAAGTAGACTGTCATTGTAGATGTTGAGACAAGATGAAAGTCTGTCATTATCCATCCATAAAGTTTACTTTAGGTTACCTTATATAACTTGAAAGGTCATAATACTCCCATATAAATATATGATCATAAGACATTCCTAGACAATCTTTTCATTATCTTGATATCTTTGTTCTCTTTTTCTGTCTTCTTTTCACAACACAATTCATGATGACGGAATCGGACTCAGATCGTAATGGATCAAAGTGCAATTCATGATCATGAAATGTTGATTCATGATTTCAAATTGTAAAACGTGAAATTTAGAGTTATTTACTTGATGGTCACGTCGGAACCTAAATTGCTTACTGGGACCTTTTAAGTTTTGTGTTATCCAATGGCATCTCACCGACAGTACAAGTCACACATGTTCTAATATCAACAAACAATGCAAGCAATGAAACTTTCCTAGTGTAGCTCTATTGAAGCATCGGCCCATGAAAGCTCTTTAGTAGCGATCATTTGTTTCAATGTTTGACATAGAGCATCTCAATGTTGAGATGCTCTATGGACTAATACTCAAAATGTGGACTACAACTTGGTCCATGCTTTAGCTGAAGGTTACTTCACTAAATATTCATCAAGATTGATATGTAGATCAAGATTACTTCACTAATATTCATAATAGATTGAATGTTTTCTTGATGGATTTGAGTCTTTCATCGTTCATGGTCCACTAAAGCTCGCATCATATGTGTACATGAACACATTTTAGGACTTCGTGACAATGTGCAATAAGTGGAAACAAAATAGGTTTTATTGTAAAATAAAAAAATCTCATCAAGTAAAACAAAACTTGATGGGTCTCATACAGCAATTTAGTTTATGTTGGGATACCATCATGTATGTATCTCATGAAATTCATGATTATGAAATTTGCATTGTCATCTAGTATCTCATACATTTGAGAGTTTTTGTGTAAGTAATATTAGAATTATTATGAGTTTATTATGAATAGTGCATTTTTTTTGACACTAATGCTTTAGTTTTTGACTGATATCCACTGATCTGACAGTTTGTTATCCATATCCATTTGTAAGCATGTTCATCGACATGAGGTTTTTTGAAAATGTTCCTTCATTGTTCGAGAGCTTTTTTTGAGAGAGTACACTCTGCTCTTTGTTAAGAGTTGCAGAGTTTAGATTCATCGTGATGAATCTTTTTCCTTTGTTATGTTATTACTGTCGCTAATATTAAATAATATTTGGTGAATGAATTGAAGGTCTAGATTGTCATCGAGTAGCAAGTTCAAAAGAGTCATGGATAGCGCGATGTTTCATTTCTCAGCCGAGTCCAACAAGCGCAACCAGTTGCCGAAAAGTTTTCTAACAAGGTTAAGAGAGTCATCGACAGCGCAAGGTTCCATTTCCGAGCCGAGTCCAACAAGCGCAGCCAGTTGCGGAGCAGTTGTGATTTTCTTCTGTCAATTGCCTAAATTTGATTAAGTTAACTTTTTGCTAAGACCAAATCAAACTAATATAGGCAACTCATTAATATAAGCATGTTTTGTTTGTTAGATCTAAGTTAATTTAGGTAAAATGGAAGAATGAAAATGAGACATGTGTTTGTTACCTCCGTTAGCATGTACTTTGAGGTTGTGCCTTCAATCCTATCTTAGGGATTGAATTGACATTGTGAAAAACCGAAGAGCTTTAGAGTAAAAACATAGTTGATTTTTGGCAAATATCAAAATGCTCAATCAAATATTGTTGGAGTATTGTGCATTAATAGTATGATTGAATATGGTAGCATAGAGAGTAAGATTCTCATAAAGTGGCTAGAGACTAAATCAATGAAGAATAAGTTGGAATCGTAAGAGAAAAATATGAAAAATCAGTTGGAATCAAATCACTTCAAATCACATGAACACTAAAATGATTAGAAATATATAAATTGGAGAGTTCAAAATGATAACTCACATGAAAAAGAATAAGTAGTTCAATTGGAGATAAAAATAAATGATGTGATGATCAACACATGAAATCAGTAAGTAGACTCAAGGGGTGAAAAAATACTAAATTGGAAGAAGAAGAAGAAGAGAGAGAAAGAGAATAGTACAAGGAGTCAACAACTTGAAAGTATGACCAAAGGCAATAATTTTAGTCAACACATTGTTAGATTAAATGCTGTTAGTCTATCTCAATCCTTTTATAAAAAATTGCATGTTTCATAGATTGATACGTGATCTTGATATGTTTCATGTTGTTGTTTATCATTTAATTTGCACCAAGATGTAACACACTCTAACTATAACAATGAAAACATATAACCTTTTATTTCAATCTTATCTTAATCTTTAGTCTATTTAACCAAATAACTTTCTTTGCTGCTTTTGCTGCCGTTACATATTCAATAAACATTGTAAATTTAACTCCACACATTTGAAAAATTGATTTTCAACTAGTTCATCCTCCACAAAGTGTAAACACATATCCAATTGTAGATTCTTTATTGTTCAGATTTTGTATGTAGTCATCATCAAAGTAGTATAACAATAAACCATCAAACAATAAAACATGTTATTTAGTTGTCTTCATGTACCTGATAATTCATTTCACTCCACTACTTCACAATGCAATATTTAAAAATTTGACATGTAATTGTTCATCTTTCTTGAAAGACATTTCTTCTTCTTCCAAAATCAACGCAATTTATCACATCTTTTGTATCAATATCATCATCTTCAAGAATATATGAATCAATCCTTGGAAAAACATTACTAATCCAATTCAATAATCTCCAGGTAGACTAATCTATATCTTCTAGTGCAGATATTTAAAGTTCATCAATAATAACCTACTATTTCAATTTTTACTTTTCAACAACTTGTTTTATTTATATCAGAGCTTATCCTTGTGTCACATTGTTCATCATATCATGATCAATCTACTCCTCAACATCAGTGATTGAAGTTTCTGGTCCTTGCTAGTACAAGAAGCTTGCAAACTTCCACTATATTTCAATAATTTGGCTTCAATAAAAGAAAAATTTTAACTAACAATAATTTTATGTGCTAGTGGATTCCAAAATCAATAACCTTCACATTACTAGAATATGAAATAATTAATAATTTTTGGATGTATAATCCAACTTTTATCTATTTTGTTTTAATTATGAAAGTATAAATCATATAAATTTTTTCAGATAAATATAATAAATCATCCGTTCGTGATTCAATTCAAACAATGTCTAGTATTGATTGCAATTAGAATAAAATAGACTTATCAAAAATTCTACATTAGTGATAACATTAGTTAGTTCATGTTGTTGGTAAATCAAATTTGTCCAACATATTAGGCATAATGTTCAACATGATTAGGATGGAACTATCATAAAAAAAATTTGTTACGGAGTATTGACCATGAGAAGATGACAAATAATTTTATTTCTTTTGTAATAACTTCAAAACTGCTTAGAGATATACTCCTTGCCATTATTTGTACATAAATATTTGACCTTCTATTTATTTAAATCTCAATTTACAATTTTCAAATCTTAGAGAATATAAAAATCTAAAATTTTTGTGTGAAAGATTAAATTTGCAATAACCATATTGAGTGATTATAAATATATGATATGTAGTAAAAATACTCAAAAAAATAAGGATTTTGGAGAATATCAACACATGAATTTTGTACATACTTAAATAACTATGAGTTACATAAAACAATATTTTCAAAATTATAAGTCAACTTAATATATGTGAGGTAACAAGTTTTTATTGTCTGGAAGTGACAAATATTTATTAATCATGTGTCATAGCCTAAAATGTCATATATGAAAAATATCAACTTAAAATTTTAAAAAGTTATTTCACCACATATTATAATTGTATCTAGAAGGTATAGATTGTTGCATTCTTAAAATTTAATAAAGTTTATTTAACCGCATATGATAATAGTATCTAGAAGAGATAGATTGTTGTGTTTAGGACATCTTGAGATGATACAAAACTTTTTAGAGCTACATTTGAGTTCATTTGAGTTCATTTGAGTCTAATATATCAACATGTATCAATCATTTTTTCTATCACATGTCAACTTGACTTTGCTTCAAGAACTAACTTCTTAGAGCTCCATTCAAGATCTTTTGAGTCAAATATTTCAAGAGTAATGGTAAATTTTCTCATATTAGCTATAGACTTGACTTGGATCAATTTGTTTTTAGACTTCATCAAATATTTGAATTTAAAAGATTTATTGAATATTGAAAATTGACGATTATTGAAGATTTATTTGAATATCAGATTTTGTTTGCATTGTGGGGTGTTTGTTAACACTTTCTGGTGTAGGTTTCTTATCGCGGTAACTTCAAGTCCATTACTCACAGGTTGAAGAAAAGAAGGGTCCAAAATAGCTATTAGAGCCATTTTCACTGGGATGAGTTATATACTCAAAAAGCTTACGCAACTCATTTCGTCCGAAATAATGTGACTGGCATAGATACATGTTTTTTGTCTCCTTTATGAAAGATCAAAATCATCACAAAGAGTCAGCCTCCAGTGCAGGACCCTTTCTTTTACTCATGGTACCCAATTAGTATCCGACTCTCTTTTCTACTTGCACTATTTCCTGTGACAAAAGAAAGATGGTTAGTGTAAGTTAGTTACCGTAGAGGTCACCATTCCGTGCACATGGCTGAGTGGAAAAGATGTTGAGTACAAGCGTTTGTAAAGTATTACACAATTTGAAAAACATGAAAATGGTTAAAAAGGGTTATACATTAACAAAGGTGGGGTCGTCATGCACGGCCACAGCTTACATACATAATCCGTACCGAAATATACAAGTAGGAACTTTAAGTCACTGGATGTTGCTGCGATAGGTCCGATGCTAAGTGCGCAGCTTCAAACCAAAGACAAAATTTCCTCCGCGAAGTCGTCGAGTCTTTTCTCTAACTACGTAAGCCGATTCAAGAAGACTGGGATTGGGATCGGGAGGCTTTTAAGGGTACTCAAGGCAAGAGAACTAACCTATATAACTATCTGCACAAGATTTTTGTTTTTTTTTTTTAATTACAAAGTAGCTAGCGCACCCTTTTCTCTCCTATATTTGTCTCCAGGAGAGTGACATGACAACAAAGAAGTTAAAATGCAACCTACAGCCCTAACGTGGTAAACATGAAGACAATAAACAGCGGTATGGATATACTTCTACAGTCAACTTTGCCTGTAAAAGAGGCAGAGAATGATAACTGATCTAAAACCTCATCCCAGAGTCTTCGCTATCTGCCTCATCGACCTTTAGGACCTTGTGGAACAATATCGTGTGATGACTATCACATCGAATCATTGGCTAGCCAGCCGAAACACCCACCTTTGTTCTTCTTGGATTGGGAGCGCCGAAGCATTCCCATTTGCGTGATCCAACGCAGTTGTTGTTTTATCCGAAAAACACTGAACTGTGCTTTTAAGCACTTGCGCTCAACTCTCGTTCAATCTCCTCCAATGAGCGACCTTTGGTTTCAACTAGATTGTTGGAGACATACAAAACTGCCAATAGACACACCGCAGAGAATCCCAAGTACACTGAGCTGATTCCGAATTTGTTGACGAATGTCAAGAAGTACAGCCCGATCGCAAAGTTGGTGATCTGCATACGAATTTGGATTAGATGTCTTGAATACATAAACTTGTAGGAAACTTCTTCATGAAATGGATGGTAAGAAAACAATTCTTCCTCAACATCAGGACTCAGAAACTCACCCAGTGGACTCCCATCGATAAAGCCACTGCCTTGGCTCGAATACGCGAGGAGAATATCTCAGGCAAGACGAGTCCAGGAACAGGCCCAGCTCCTAGGGAGAAGGCCAGCACATATCTACAAAAGGAGCAATTACAGAGAAACTTCAGATGATACATCAGGATAATAAAAAAAGTTAGTACTATTTTAAAGCTCCAAACCTATTGATACTACAAAACAAACAACATGATTGACATCTTTACACAATAGAGCACTCCAAGGAAAGCTGAAGGGAAATTTCTTCCAAGAAACTTACGAAACAGTTCCCGCCACCGCAAGAGTACCGGAATAAGCCGCGAGAGCAGGCCACGAGAGGGACAGGGATAGAACAATCATAGAAGCGGCCTGTTACAAACACACAAGCACTCCGAGTTATTGAAATTACTTCAGAATCACTAGAAAAACTTCTGTCATACAGAAGCATGAGGTCTGCACCTGATGGTCACGGGATTGAGAGTTATCAAATACAGGCTGATAAGCAAAATTCAAGGGGCATAAATTTGTTATCTCACCATTCCCAAGAAACTCAAAGAGAGCAATTTCTTTCTGCCTTGCTTGTCCATGAGAGAAGATGCAACGGTAGTACCTGCGAGGACCGGGAACAAGGCATTCAGAACTGCGCGGATCTTCCTGAAAAGAAGAAGGGTCGGAGAAGGCAAGGGAATTTCAACATGTAACATGGCTGTATTTACCTAGAACATTAGCAGCTCCTACAAGGGCACTGGCTGCAACATCTGACTTGATGCCCGCGCTGCGAAATACGGCAGTTGAGTAGTAGACGACGGCGTTGATACCAGCGAACTGCTGGAAGAGAAACAGGGCAGCTCCAACCGCAACAACTATTGCACATGTCATGCACACCATTGACATGTTAGTAACTACAAAAGCTTCTAAACGAGGTGTCTTGACCGCATCTCTAAGTGTACTTAGCAATGAGTTCCAAAATGCATTGCAAGATAGGGAAGGAAATAACTGGAGAAGAAGGCTAAACTGTTTAAATAAACTGTCATTTGCAGAGCTTCTATACGAATCAGCTTGTGTTCACACATTTTTCGTGAAGTTCTCGTGGAACATACTTTTTCTGTATCGTTTGCTAAAGAGCTCTCCCCACCCAGCATTCTCCTCCGAGGAACTGCTGCTGTTGTCGTTGAGTTCTGCCATCGCCTGCTCTACCTTGCCTTTACCCCATAGCTTTCTGATAGCGACTTCGGCTTCAGCTTTGCGTCCTTGCTGAGAATTAAAAAAGCGAAAATCAGCTCTTTAAAACATGCCATTTTAACTTCAACCTGGCAAGATTCATCTCAGAAGCCTAAATGTTCTCACCTGATGGAGCCATCGGGGACTTTCTGGCGAGAATCCCATGCCCAAAAGAAGAAGAGCAGCTGGGGCCACAGCAATAGTGAACATCTTGCGCCACCTGAGAATGGAAAACGGTTAGTAGACAGAAAAAGAATCCTTACTCATCTTGGTTATAGTCGTGTGACATACTGAAAGAGGGATTGAAATCTCTGCAAGTTCAGATGTATTTGAGAATTTGAGAAACCGAATTGACACAAAAAGCTGTTCTGAGAATTCAAATAGCTAATATATTTAACATTTGTCGGCAACCTGCATCCACCGGACTAAAGCGGCTGTCAAGAGAAGAAGGTCTCTACGGGGTCCAATGCATACCAGATAGGGTTACCCGCCAACGGAAGGCCGGCGATGAGTGCCAGAAGAATACCGATGCAAATAGAAAGTTGGTTCACGGATCCCAGGGAACCGCGGATGTTGGTGGGCGCAATCTGCGTGTAGAGGTTGTACGAAGTTAGTGAACAACTACATTATACAGGGAATCGCAAGTCCTGACCTGGAAGACCAAAAAAAACTGACAGTGATGAAAGGCAGGACTCTATAATATGACTCTATACACCTATCCAACATTAACAAGGATACTAGGAAATTCTTGGGCCTGTGGATGTTGTCTCTCGCCCTAAAAAGTCATCTCTTTTCGGCGCTTTCTAAACTCCCAAAACTCGAACTGCAATAGGACAACCCAGTGCTTCAACCAAAACACTACCCCTGTACTCGAGTACCGAGTAGAACTGGAGAACAGTAGTGTCGTAAGAGGAAAAGTGAGCTAGTTACAGTCGGCGGCCACCGGTGCCAGTACCCACGACGCCGGAACGAAAGTATTCGCTGATAGCGTCAAGTAGATAAACTCTAGTGCGACTAGGGAGTAGGAGAGGTCAACCAACCTCGGCGATGTACAACGGTACGACAGCTGAAGATATTCCAATACCGAGACCGACCAGAAATCTGCCCGCAAGCATCGCTTGAATTCCTGTGGCGGTTGCGCTGCGAGAAAAATTCGTGACGTTAGACTTGTATGATACAACTCGTGCAGCGGTTGGATGGCCAGCGAATCCAGGTTAAGTACTTTCACAATGAGACTAACGGATGTACGGGGCTCTGGAAAGAACGAGCAATCAAACCAGAAAATAACTGATCGTCGTCATACGGATGATTGCGCCACTTGTTCAAGAGGGACGATCAACCACTTGACATCTACAGAGAGGTTTGCGGCCCGATCAATATATAGCCGAATTGGATCCAAGTATATAACCGAATTTGGACTTCCATCTATCTTCCATCTAATCCATACAATCTTCATTCTTACAAACCTTAAAAGAGCTCCCACGATAAGAGGTACTGAATCCAACTGAAAAGTTCGTGTTCGGCCGAACTTGTCGGCCAAAGTTCCTCCTGTGAACGAGCCTACGGTTGCCCCAGCCAGTGTGATGCTTACTACCCATCCTGCATATCCAGCTCAAAACTGGTTAATTCACCGGAACAACTCGGTATAAACGCATCGCGGCGTTCCGTCTTCAGGAGAAATAGCCACAGAGATCTCCGGATATGATCATGTCACGCATTTCCTGGCTACGATCAACTAGACTGCTGCATGCAAGTGCTTTTTCTACGAAGCGGCTTCGAGATGTACCTTGCAGTGCAGCGTTTCCCACAATCCCCAAGTCCTTCGCGATGTACTCCAATGCACCGTTTACAACTCTGCAGTGATCATGATACTGAAGTCAATATGTTGTACCTTGAGAGGCTAAGTGCGGTGCGGTACAGAGCAGTACCTATGCCTAGTACCGACATATCCACCTTGTTTTCGGAAGACCTACTTCGGCCGGATTTCGGTGAGATCCGGATCCGGACAATTAGAGGGAAAGTGCAGCAGGGCTTAATGCAATACATATGTACTGTCACGGGAAGAAGCTACGTGGCAGTATCAGGCAAGATCAGCACTAGACTTCTAGTTGTGAACTAAACTCTGGTCATGACATACCCGAGATGGTAGCCAAAAAGGATGGCACCAAGGCATGCAATGCCCACAGAGAGGAACAGAGAACCTCCATAACCTGCGGAAGCTTCCTTTGCCGCCACCACTCCCTCCACATCTCCTTCTGCATCAAGTACACCTCTGTCAGCGTGATGTGACCGAAAGTGTGATTAACGAAGACAACTGGAGAAGTGACTTCAAATAGCAAAATCAAAACCAGATTAGTCTCGAGTTCATTTCAATCCCCCGGATTCGCAACCACTTCTACACGGATCAAGTATCTTCCTCCAACGGCCCATCAAGATATCTCCAACCCGGTCTCCTCATGCTCAAGGTGGTTAGACCGAGACCGTCCATTTCTCAGAGCGAGACCACCGTGAGGTCAACACTGCCTCCTGACTGACTTGATGTCACCTCGGGAGTAAATATGGTCAGATCATCAGCTTCGATCTCGAGGGACCTCTGAGCGAGCAGTTTGACCCTTCGAATTCAGGATAGGTGGAGAAGAGCGATAAATTTCTAACGAGCGGAGTGTCGGAGGAGGATGTAGATCCGTGTTAGCACGCACTGCTCTGATTCCAGGATCTCTCCGATCGGCGACAGCACAATGGAAAGCCCAGAAGGCCAAGTCTGGACAACAGGTGTGTGACTTGCCGGCCCTGCTGTGCTAGTCTCTACGTATCGAGTTCATCGAGTTCAACCTGATCACTCAGTGCCAGAACTCCAGACAAGGTGAAAGCGATCTGGATCCGGAGGGCACAAACCTGCGGCCTGAGCGTGAGGTCGAGACACGCGCTTCTTGGGTGCTTGCTGGAGGCTCATGGAATCCATGGGAGCGAATGCCTGCCCCAAATGTCCGGCCCTAAAATCTACAGAAGCGCTGCATGTCAACCGCCTGGAGAGTGGCCCGACTTGCGCCGCTGCTCGAACGGTTCGACGGGCGGTCGAGGGAAGACAGGGTCGCAGTCCAGACAGCCTCAGTCTGGTGCCGCAGCCACTGCCTGTAAGCGCTACGGTCTGCATCCTCGGAAGACGAAAAATGTCCAACCAAACTTCCTTGATCCACGGTCAGAATTCGATCCCCTCGCGGACCGGCCTCGCCAAGAAAGCACTCGACCAACAAACAGAACACGCACTCCACACAAAGAAACGCAGAAGAGAAACGGGAGCGGAGGAACGAGGCGGAGGGACTAGAGGCAAAGCGCAGGGAAGACAGAGGGGTAGAAAACGGGGGAGGAGGAGGAGAGAGGGAGGGAGGAAGGGAGGAAGGATGGAATGAAGGAAGGGAGTTCGAGCTCGGGAAGGACTGCCAACTTCAATCCCTCCGATCCAAAAACGATGGAATTTATGTTATGAATGATATGAAGTGCGCGGAGGGAACACGACAGAGTTGACAAGCAGGCTGCGGGTACAATGCCGACTTCCGTGGGAAAGACTCCCCGGGATGGGGGCAGAGGAGGTGCACAGGAGGAGGAAGTGGAGGAGGAGGAGGAGAAAAGAAGCGGGTGCAGAACACGGCAGAGACAGAAAAGTAGCAGCGAGAGAATCGGAACCAGCAGGCAGATCAGAGCACAGCAGAGGGCAAAACCGAATTACAGCTACACGCTACCGACAAGCTATGCCACAAATGTCGAGCGGACAGGTAGTGGCAACGTGAGAAAAAGCAATCCCAGAAAGGCAAAACAGGCCGGACGGAGAGAAAGAAGAGGCAGGCGCAAGCAGACAGAATCAGCCGCTACCAATGCCCTCCGCAGAAGTAGAAGAACAACCAGCGGGGCGAAAGAATGCCCCCCTCCTTAATCTCCTTTTCCTCCCTCTCCTTCTCCCTCACTTTCTCATCTCTGATTGAATAATTGATTGATTGATTGATTAGTCCCTCCCCGCCCACCACCACCACCCTCCGACCACCTCCTCCTTCCTCTCCTCAACCCCGGCAGACCTCTGCAGCAGCAGCAGCGGCAGCAGCTTTTTGGTATTTTTAAATTCACCTCCCCTCGTCCACCTCATTCATGACGTCTCCCCTCCCTGCGTCCCTCCCTCCCTCCCTCCCTCCTGCGTCCGTCCGCAAAGGCCGACGATAATTGGAAGCTCTGCTCAGATTGTCACCCTGCCTCCCCAACCCACCGCGCCACCACCACGAGCCCCCCTATAAACGTCGAAACCTCCAAACGAATGAGCGAGCGAGCCAACCATCGCCATCTCCCGAGCGCATCTCGGGCCTCCTCCTCCTCCTCTTCCTCCTGCTGCTTTCTTTCCTCTGCCTCTCCCTCTCCCCGCGTACAAACGGCGAGGGCTCGAGGGAGCAGCAGCCTTCGTCGTCGTCGTCCTCGTCGTCGGCTCCCGCGTCCAAACAAAGAAAGAAACAGTTGTTTTGCTCCCCGCGAGGCAGCGCCGGTGCCAGCCTGCGGCCGAGTCAAAAGTTAATCCTGTCCTCGCGCGACCGCCGGGTAAAATCCGGTCAAGTTACCTAACTGCGCACTGCTGTACTGCCCCGCGCGGCCTCGTCTGACTTCGCCTTCACCGCCTCGGTTGACCATACGTCCACGTAATCCGGATTCGGCCGGATTTATCCGTGCCCATTGCGGGAGAGTGACTGACCCGTCCCATTCATCCAGCATGGCCTGGTGATTCGGAGTTCCGGATAAGGAGCCTAGTCATGATCGGAGCGGGGCAGAATGGGAGCGCTCCACGTGGACGCGCGGGATGGCCGTAACCGCAGATGTGGGGAAAATGCTCTGCGATTGACTCCGAATAGCAACTGCAGGCGCGGACAGGTGTGAACAGATTCGAACAAACGGGATGCGGCGATGGACTGGCAGGTCTTCCGCGACCAGACACGTCAGCTGTATAAAGCGAGGAAGTGCCCGGTCGGTCAGTCGTGTCAGTGTAGACTCTGCCCCCGCCCATCGGATTCCTCTGTTGTACTCTAGGCTCCAAGATCCGGCTCGTAAGCGCTAGATCTGTCCGCACGTACGCTCCACCCGCCGTGCGACCACCGGCTAACTTTCACCCGGTTCGACGTCCGCCACATCCCCGCCACATTAAGCAGCAGCCGCTGCTACTCAGCCCCAAACGTAGTGAGCCGCCACCCTCAGCGGCGCTTCCAAAGAAGCGGGTCGAATCGCTGGACGCGGTTCTTTGTCCACATCGCCGCGGTTCCAGTGCTCGGGGGTCACCGCGGTGGAGCGTCTTCCAGGCCGCGCGGCGAAGACCCAGTTTCTAGACCCTCCCTTGCTTCCCGGACCGGAGATCTTCCGCGGCCCCTTCACACGTGCGACTGTGGTGGCGTTCTTGCTCTCTTTAAGGCCTGACAAAATAGCGACTCTTATGTTGATAATGGGGTCCACTGCGGGACGAGATGTCTCCAGAATATGGAACCAGCTGAGCTTTTCTCCGGACCAACGACCGTCTAAATTATAACAACAATCACAACCTAAATACGGTTTAGGGTTTTAAATAATATTAGCTCTTTATTTTTGCGGTGAAACCTAATATATCGGAACAAGTAAGACCTTCAGCTCGATAAGTCCGGCGTCACTCGCTAAGTCGTCGGGCGGATTACATTTATGTCGCGAATTCCATCGGTGGTAAATTAAAAACATGTCCTCTCCAAATAGGAATGGACTTCGGTTTCATTAAAATCAGGATGAAATTAAGTAGTGTGTCAAAATATTGATAACGAGGGCACAATGGAAATTCCCGGAGTATGTGTAAGGCAACATCAGATTTCATTTGGCCAGATAGTCAGATTCCTTAAAAGCAGGCTTAAAATAAGAATTAGTTTCAACAAATTAAGAACGAGTGCATTCTGGAAGTTCCCGGAGTGTGTAAAAGGCAACCTCAAATTTTTTATATGGTCAGTTAATCAGACATGGCTCTGGATGACAGACCTTGCGGATCGAGATGCGTTCCGAGTCGGTCCCGGTTTTCCCCTTAGAGAGCGGGAAAGCAAAGTCTTGGATATCCGGTCAACCGGTTGAGGAAGGTGAGCAAGGTGCCTCTACCCGGTTTCTGTTTTGACCGACAAGGGTGCTAAAATTAGGCACAGCTTTCTTCAGAGGGGAGCATTTCCCCGACGTTCTTGGGCTGCGGCCTGAGCGTCGGGAGAGAAATCAGTCATTTCGGCCGTGCCTTCGTTTAGAAAGGCCCACTAAAGCTACAAGCTACGTGCCGATCTCGACACGTGAGGAGTTCCAACATGGACTCGGAGACCTTTTCATGAGATCCCGCATGCTCTCGTATATTTTCCTGATCAACGATTCTTCTTCTGCGATTCTCCCACACATCTCCACTCTCTTTTTGCCTTTGTCTCCTCCACGGTCCCCTCCCATGGAATCCACGACGACCTCAGGCAAATGTAAGCCATCGTCGGAGGTCTTGCATGCACTCCAAAGCTGTGAAAAGTCCAGCACGTCCAGTAGAGGAAACGAAGAAGCACAGCGTCCTGTTCTGAGGCTCTGGAAATGCTTCACGCCTCCCTGTCCGCTCTCCGAAGATGGATCTCATTCGCAGCGACTTCGATCGAAAACCATCACGGATCTCCGGCAGAAAGGACGTTCTGATTTGTGGTGGTCGGACAGGGGAGGGAGGCTCTGCATTCGAGCTAACGACCCTTCGAGAACAAGGTCCAAGTTGAGCAACCAAGTCTGGAGAGGATCTGAACTCGAAGATTGGGTATCTTAGATTCTAAAGTTAGCGGAGTTGGTTCCGGCCCTTCTCGGGTGGCGTGCCAAGTGGACGATGCCTACAAAGCAAAGTCCAGACTCCAACTTCTCGAGCTAGGCCTAAGCAGTACAAGTACAGTAGTTGTTGAAATTGTATAACTCGAAGTGCGACATTGTGCGCAGGGTTTCTCATTTATGTGTGAACGACAAAGTCCCTAGATGAAGATGGAGGCAAAGGCATGCATGGGCCAAGTGGAGAATGCGAGCAAAGTTTGTCCCTTAGCATCCAAACTCAAGTTTGCTGATGCGACAGTGATACTAGATTGGACTGACACACTCATGATTTTGTCTATTTAACCAGAGCAGCGCAAAAAGAGATTCACTGGACATCATTGTACTCACATGAATGGTTAGTCGCCACAGAAATCTCCTGACTACTACATCGGTGTATAATACTTTGGGCAAATTCAAGGCTTGAGTTTTTGGATCTACTCTCTCGAAAGTTCGAGTTCACCTTCCTCCGATTTTTGCACCCCAGAAGTATGCGTTGTAAATTATTAATGAGCTCTGGTTATGGTTCACCTTTCAGTTTTCAGATGACCACATCAATAAGCATGGAGCTGGATCCAGCTCCATGCTTTGAGCTTACCAATATTGATACGAGTGTCACCCGTCTTCCTACGCCGGTAGCTACATGTATGAGACGACAAAGTACTTGAAAATACTTTACTAGCTGTCTTCCAGACTTTGTAACCATTGGCAATTAGGACATAATTGTGTGAACTCCAAACAAGTGTAAGATGGTCATGGTTTGTTGTGTGCAAGATCCTACAGCTGATAAAACTACCTTCATGTGCTCTGCAAGTGTCATCTTCGTCTTCTGAAGAACCTTGCGTCCCTATCTAATACCTTGCACACCCATTTCCATGTGTTTCCAGCTGTTACTTCAGATTGCGCGATTTGACCAAAACATTACATCTTTGGCCAAGCCCTTTAATTTTCCATCCCTACATGAGTAGGTGTCTAAAAAGATGCAAGGTTAAGTATGTAATCTTCTTATCAGAATTATCTCCTGCTACATTGAAGATAAAAGGTGCCGTATACTGGAGGAGTTTATGTTTAAAACATTTAGGAACGGATGAATTCGATCAATATAATGGCTTCGATTGTGGGAGATCTTAGCGGCCTTTATCTTTGGTTTGAACTGATGATGGCAAATAAAAAGTTAAATTTGAGGCATGTATCTCATGTACTTTTGGTTCTCATCAACAACCCTTTACATGGCGTCTTGTAGTTTTGATTTTCGGTCTTTCTAGACATTTTACGCTATTTTTTGGCAGTTCATCATAATTACAGTGATCAACCCTCAAAGGAACAACGAGGGAATGTTCTCCACTACGGCCCTTCTACGGTAGTAGCCTGCAGAAGATTTCAGACAGATAACTTTGACTGCGATACGGAATCTGCGAACCATGTGCCCAACAGGTGGGGTTGATATGTTAATGAATGCTCTGGATTGGAAGAGAAAATGACTGGTTGGAAGAGCCCCAGTGCATAGGGATCTGTTCACATGAGGACACTATGTGGGAACGTATGGTTCTGCCCGGCCCATAGCTTCTGCCCCCCTCACTACGCAAGATGAAAACAGTGCAACACCTCTTCACTGTCCAGTATCGAGACACAACATTCATCAGCAGGGGTCTGATATCATTTGCTAGGCTTCTTCTTCGTCGGAGGGAAGTACACAGTTTACCAGTGAATCTTGCAGGAGAAGATCATTTCGATTTTGAATAGCTCAGGCGACTATAACCCCCTGAAGAATTTGAACCGTATCTTTAAGTTGCAACTTGTTCAGAGTTTCATTCGGGGGATTTCTGAAAGTTTGAGACCGAGTATCATACGTATGGAATTCATGTAAGTATACACATACACCGATCAATTCATAGAGTCTGTGCCACAGGGGAGAGCTGTACCACTCGGAACCAGCTAGGGTACGTCCAACTGTAAACTTCCGAATCTCGTCGTACAGTTCCATGCGAAGAAATGGGAAGATAATCCCGTTTCATCTTAGGCATCCCAACAGTCTGCTGTACAGACAATATCTGATACCATACATGATTGAAAGTATACGAGCTGATGGAATTGGACCGTGCCATGTTCATGGAGTCATGTGGAGATCTAATATCTGAGTCTGCTCGTACAGCGAGACGAAGCAGAACCTATATATAGAAAGCAGAACCCGACCACAGCATCAACTTTCTCTAATATCACAGTGGAAAGTCAATACATCTTTTGGATGCAAGTTTTGGTAGTGCCGGGTTTGACCTCACAACTCGGTGGGGACTACAGCAGGAAGAATCTAAACTGGGGCTCGACACAGAACGACGTGAAGGATGGGGATATCGGAAGTGGTTGCCTCCACTGATCACGACAATCCGTCCTGTCACTTCTGATTGCCCTGTAATGAATTCCCTCTTCGTCGAGATGCACTGATCTACCCAGAACTCAAAGTTCAAACTGCATGTGTGTGTCTGTCTCATTGATGAGCAACAGGTCGAGCCAGCTTTTCGCGACTTTACTGGAAGTCTGGTCAAGAAGAAATGCCTGCAGTATATCATGCAGTCAGAATCATTGCACTGTTTCGAGTTTGAGAGCCAGAAAGCCGGTAAGCCCAATCACGCTGCTGGAATTGTCCGTCAGCCCTCCCCTTATACCCCACTGGATACACACCTCCCGTGCCCATACTTGTTCCCATGCCCACTTGACAACCAGGTCGGTATCAAACCAAGCGATCTCGTTGTCCAAATTCATGGGAGTTCACTGTGAATCTACAACGACGGCCCCTTTTCAGCTGAAAGTACTCCTGAAAGATATGGTACACTCTAGTCTTGCTTCTCCGAACGCTAGACAATGTGGCGAACACTATGAAGATGGACCCCGCCACCATGAGTCTGGTTTACTTCTCCCTCGACCAGAATAGAAACATTTACCCCTCAACTGGATAAACGAGAGACCGGTTGGTGATGAAAATGTTTATGATCGATGAGAGGAATCGGGCTGCAGATGCAGAATTGACAAATGGATTCCCACCATTTTCAGGTAGCCACGTACCAGTTGCTCGAAAGTTGTCAATGAGTAGCACCTGCCAGCGACCCCGAAGAATGGTTCAAGATGAGCCCTGGATCGTCCTATCTGAATTCTCAAAAGCGTCTCGGATTCCGCTGAAAGAAAGCGAGATTCACTCAACAGGAGTCCTGATTTTCCAGCAAACGAGGCGAGAGGGCAGGAGCTGACATTGAGATTGACGCAGGTTAAAGGCCTTTCTCACCGAATGGATAAGGCTGAGTCCATCGGCCTTCTAATGTAGTAAGCTGGGAAATCGAAGCTCGATCACACAGTATCCAGATGGATCCATGAAGCTCGCGCGGGCATAATAAATGGGCACATTCGCGACCACGAGACTACGACGTTACGGCAAAGTGTCGTGTCAAGGGTCCCACTTTTCCGTGGGTTCAGAGGCAGGAAATTTACATGACCGGAGGAGCGAATGGGTCACATCAATTTCACCTGTGGAAGAGTCCAAACGAAGCTTCACATCACCAAATATACTCTGGAATCCCTCTGTCCTTGAGTCCGTCCGGAAAGCCCCTGCAACCTCACCTGTTCTATGGTCATGTGACTCGTCCGCTTGATTCGTTTCCCATTCGCCGAGCTCGGTCGAGCACTTCAAGTGGCTCCGAGAGGATGGTGTGGCTCGTGACCAGATCTCATCATCACCGGGGTTTTCACCATAGGCAGAAGCCTTGCCCTTCGGCCCGAGAAGGATAAATCTTCCCGAATTTGTGCACTCGTGCGCGTGATATTCTTTTTTCTGATCTTCCATATCCAGAACCTTTTGCCGTGCGCTGTTGATTTCTACAACGATCCGAAGACAGAACACGCACCCTTCAGGCCGGACGACTCCGACCGAGAGCCCTCGTGTGATCTCAGTCTCAATACCTTCTGACTCAGAGACTGTCCTGATCTGATCTGATCGGATTAGATGACGAAAGCTTGATCCAGCTGGACACAGGTATTTAGTGTGGCCTCTGGCACCTGCAGCTGCGGGTCGTAATCGTCCAACTCTCGAACACGAGATTAGATCAGCGCTCGAGCATGATTGCAGTAAATCATTTTACTTGAGCGCCGGCTTCGTCTAAACACGGAGACCTCGTTGCAGAGTCTGCGATCCCTTTGTTGACATGACAGTAATGATCATCCCAGAGCTTATCACCCCTTGAAGCGAGGGCTGTGGAGGTCAAGAGCACGGTTTCAGTACCGTGCACCTCATGTAATCCGGCGGGCCCAAAATGATTGCACGATAATGTCCTTTCACGATCCCTGAGATTACTCTCCGGGGCTCCTCAGGGGAATGTACCTGAGAGTTGAAGTTCACCTCAAAAGCTCTGTATACGTCGTGTCGTGTCCGTCGGCAATGGTTACCGTTAGAGGCTCTGGAGAGCACGAGTCCGAGCTCCGATACGGTGCTGATCATGTCTCTGAATGTCTTGTCCACGTCTGATGTTGAAAGTTTGACTGGCGGGCGTTTTAAGCGCCTTTCCGAGGTTATGAAACATGACCGTGAGTTAGTCGGGCAGATTCTGGAATCTCGATCTGATCGTGACTGTGCCTCCAACGCAAGAGCATTCCCCATCTTCTGTCATGGCCTTAGTTAGTTGGTGATGCTCAGCGATAATCTTCTATGTGATCAGTAGTATGAAGACTTACACAAATTGACCATGGATTCGTGATTCGTGTTCGAATCCATGGTCAATTCAGTGTGCACAACTTGCAGTCCTTGTGATCGGGATACATCATAGTTGGGGGTGTATCGTAGTTCACGTCCAAATCCAGATTAAATCTCCCACACTCTGCAGTCTTCGATCTGAACATATAAGTCATTTCAATTCATGCAGCTCGGATATTGTCTTCTCCAACAGTGAGAGCGATGCTTCAAGTTGGACTAGGCGTTCCAATGTGACCATGTGAAACAGATAAAATAACGTTGCTCAGAGTCTAACTGGAAAGTATTTTAGGCATTTCTCGGGACTGATTGTACCCTTTGTATCGAACTGAAGAAGGACGTGAGATTGATTGGCTCCTGTGTGGATGGTACTTCCAATTTTCGTATCCCTGTTACGCTCGTGGCCCCATTTGCGTACCTTAATGTAAAGACATGATCATTGATGAACAGAATACATTCTTCTCATGAACTTGATTCGAGCCGGAAGTGAAAAAGAAGCGAGCATGATACACATGGGCCAGTTGTTGGGGACGAGCACTTAGATAGCCCTACTAAAGTTATTCATGTCTTGCAAGATGTGGGGCTCGACATGCTGGCGCTGTGCAAAGGAGATAAGAGCTGCAACAATGTCCTTAGCAAGTCCAAGAAATTCGCGTCCCTGACATAAGACACGGATTCAGTGATGGCTTTTAACATCGAGTGCGCATAATTTGTATACTTGAAAGCAAAATTAATCAGCCACGATACAGACTTACGCCTCATGCTGGATTTGTGACACACTGCTTCTCAGGGAATCACTTCCTTCACTGGGGAACAGGATCGGAATGTTTCCTTTCGGGCTCGTCAGATAACTCATGAATGATGATCGGAAAACCTTACCCTCGGGTGTCCGTACTTGCGCCCACCTTTCACCAACTTTGACCAATTCTGTCGAAGGAAGTCAAGCACGTGCTTCAGAGTTGCAGCCCACTTTCATGCTCCCTGCAGAATTTGACATCTGCAACGGCCCCCGTAGTGACTACATCTGGTATGAATTCAGATTGTCGTCTCATTGCGAACATTCTACGGAGCTTTGACTTGAACTTGGGGGACAAATCAACTCTCAGGTACTGACAGTGGTCGTCACGAGAAGTGGAAGGTCCAACTTCGACATTATTGCAGACAATATGTGAAGGCAATAGTCTTCCCCCAGTATTGAGTATTCGGGCCGTCAAGAGTACCCAGCAGCCACGATTCTGTGGCCCAATATTCTCTGTCCTGGATGATGAACATTGGATCCTAGAAATCAAACACGGCATTCTTCGACCGATAAAGTTCTCCAACTTCAACTACTGCACCACGTGAAACATCGAATGATAGCACGTCCTTCTGCTGCCACGTGAGCAAGACTTTTCATCAATGAATGGAGGTATGCAGCACGGACAATGTTAACACAACCGTGTCACATAAAGTCTCAGGTCCTTGAGACCTGGGGGCTCTTGTACGAAGAAGAAGTTTCTGCTGATGGTAGATTCTGCACTCTGCATTCGATTCTCCGAGTCGAGAGACGGGCAGTAATGGCCATGGGGCTCAAAATACGCATGGCAAACATGTGATTGTTTCCGTGCCTCAGTCCGTCCGTCAGTTGTTGTCATCTAGAGGTTCGGATATGTGACCAGAAACCAGAGATTGTGAAGGTGTTCTTCAGCATTATTCAACCTCTGCTTGACATGATCGCTGAAAATTGAATAATGCCTAAATTTCAGTCACTTAAAGGGTCAGGTCTTAGGGTGGAAAGTATAAAAATCTGCCAATGGTGAGAAGGAATCGGGACATGTCAAACGGTGTGTAGGCTGTAATACCTCATACTTGAAACAGAAGAAGGTTCTAAGAGCTATGATCTGGGAAACTTAGCAAGAAAATCTTATTTAAATTTACAGGCTAATAATGGATTGGCTCCTTATGATCGACTCCAAACTTTTCCCTTCCAGAGCCCATGAATGGTGGGTAACAGTCTATCGAATAATGAGAACGTGGGGCAGAGTGACATCATCTACTCGAGCTAAATTCATGAGCCGGGTAAGTCAGCTCGGGAAAATAAAGAAGCTCCGCTTCAGACGAGCTGATAGCCCGTATCGAATCATCAAGTTCCATGACAAGAGGAGCAAAACGTACGGGTCATGCGGACGGACAAACCAAAGGTTTATTAAGGAGCGAGTTTCGCATTTGACATGTTTCTTTCTCGAGCATTCAGGTCACGATAAAGTCGAAATTGCTGGGTACTGACTTTGCAAACCCAAAGGATCACTCATCATCGTTCATGAGTATTAGATCGATCAAACACTAGGACAGTGACCGGCCCGATCGGTTGTCCGTTTCAGCTATCCGAACTCTCAAGAAGAACCCTCAGCGGTTTGTGACGTTCCCTCGCTCTCGCCCGCGAAGTGGTGGGCACCAGCTGAAAGGATCCTCCTCGTCAGAGAAGTTCTCGTCTCCATATGCTAGTGCTGTGGAAAGAAGATAGCTGCTGCTGCTGCAATGATGAAAGAAAGTGGCCTCTGTCTCTGAAAGACTCCACGACGATCGACTGTCCGGAAGCTTTCTGAACTTGGTCATGGTTGCAAGTGACCTCGACTGCGGCATAGACGCCACAGTTCTAAGTTTTGTAGGTTCACAGTACAGTACTAAATAGCTATGAAAGGATAAAGATTCGTATCTTAGGATTGTGGAGAGGCTCTTGCATTATGAACAGTAGCATTAGAACTATCTCACAAAACCATACACAGTGCAGAAGCAATAAGTTCTCTTGACACTCATAAACTTCCGCCCTTCACAACTATAGCATACCTTTCTCGGCCTTTTGGCTAAGATCAAGTGTAGTATATGTTCTTATCAGTTTAATATCTGATACGAGGGTCATCGACCCTCACGATATTAATCATATTTCTTTCACGGGTGCGAGTCCAATGGAGTAGCTTGCTGTTTCGGACTTGTCAGTGTCGCCTTGGTATTGCACTATCTCCTTGGCCGGCGCAGCCCACCCTCCCCCTATGGGGAACCACGTAATCCAATTAGCAATCGTAACACTGAACATCAGGAGATGATCCCTTACATCTACCGATCAAAAATGATTTAACTCCCAGTGTGTTGGGGAAGTCTAGCCAATGGAGTAGCTTGCTGCTTCAGACTCACCATTGTCGCCTTGGTATTGCACTATCTCCTTGGCTGGCGCAGCCCACCCACCCCTCTGGGGGAACCATATAATCCAAGTAGCAATCGTAACACTGAACATCAGCAGATGAACCCTTACATTTACCGATCAAAAATGTTTTTACTTCCAGAGTGTTGGGGAAGATTAGCCATTCGTGGCTTAACGATCACACTGAAATTGACGAAATTGAAACTGGCGCTTTCCTTAGTGGCTCTAGTTTCTTCACAGTGGCGCGTGAAAAGATTCCAGAGTGTGGCCTTCGATAGGAATTTGGAATGCATTAGCATCATCCTATTGAATCCACCTTCACATTGCTTCGTATCTATGACGAATGTTTTTAGATCGATGCTCTGTTGATTTCGATATTAAGAATGAATGATGCCGACTATCTGGACTAGGTACGGGCTAAAAAAAACTGTAGTCAGAGGAGTGGGAGAAATCACGAGCTATGCACTCCAACTGTGCTGAATGCCACTAGAGTGGCATTCAGCACAGTTATCACACACAGTTAGCACAGAATTCGATTATCAACCAACAATTTTTAGTAACAGTTATTACAGTTAGACAGGGCATACTATAAAGAATGGTCAGTTTAAGCATTGCCCATCGGATTGTAATTGTCGCCGAAAAAACTGGCAAATCTGATTTTAACACAACTTTTGCTCGTCCTGATTTCTCAAAATAGAAATTTCGTCTTGAAATGCTGTCGCGAAGTATGTGCTTTTGCTACAGCAACGAGGTATATCGTGCGTATACTGTGCCAGCAAAACACTGGGTTGGATCTTACTGTTCCATATCTTACTGCGTTAAATTACAATTTCAATTCAACTAATTAAACTCCAATTGTTTTCACTATGTTCTGAGTTTATAACACATCCATTTTTAAATTTCATGTGAACATATTTAGAATATGTGCTAATCTTTACCACGTTGTAAGCCATATTTATAATACTAAAAATGTAACGTCATATAATACCATAAATTTAACATCAAAATCATTCATATCTTTAACTTGCTCTGGTTTTATTGTCTATAAGATAAATATTTTGACGGTAAAAAGGTGGTAAAAAAGCAAAAAAACACTGTCATTGACACTAAATTGCGTTTGCTTGCCAATCCACTCGGATCTTCGTTATCTTGTCATTATTTTCAATAGATATTTTTTTCCTGTCAGCTTTTTGGAATAATAAATACTTAATATTTTGTATTACATTGAATACATTGAAGTTTGTAACCCAATCATAGAATCTAATAATCTTACAAATCAAATTGCAATTAGAATTTCTATGATATTTTCATTAAAAGAAAATTTCAATTTTACTTTTAAATGAAAAAAAGATCATCCGAATATTGAAAAAATATCTCATTCAAATATGCATATCATTTTTTATTTCAAATTATATCACTTTGACTTATTTATATGAATAATTTTGATCTATCTGAATTTCTATGAGCCTTAGAATATATATATATATATACATGATAATTGATTTATAATATTAAATCAAGATATAACGTGAATGCAAAAATGAAAAATATAAATAATTAAAAAAAAAATCTTCGATAATATTTTATATCATACTTGTGTTGGAACAGACATTGTATCGATTATAAATCACATCAGTTTAATTTGAGAATTTTAAATCACATAATATACTCCTAAAATTGATTTCAAATGTATCCACAATATATGTTTTGCTTTCAAACATAAATACACAGACGTATTTTTTAAAATTTGAGAAACACTTGAAATCACTTTGTAAATTTGTAAAATATTATCACCTTGATGTAAATTTGATAAAAGAACTTTTTTTTGAAATTTTTTATTGAATATTAATTTAAAATTAAAATTAAATTTAAATAATCTTGATTGATCTAAGACCAACACACTTATATCATAAGAGTATTTGGGAGCGACAATATTGTTCAGCAAGCTATGAAAATAGTCATGGAACATATATACGAACCTAAATTCCTCGACACCTCCCACGGTTCCGTCCCGGAAGAGGGTGTCACTCGGGGTTAGAACAAATTTGCCTGAAATAAACAGGAGCGTCGTGGTTCCTTGAATTTGACATAAAAAGGTGCTTCAATTTCATGGATCGACACAAGCTGGTCTTCATCTTACAAAAGGATATAGAAGATCAGAGTTGGATGCATCTCGTGCATAAACTGTTCACCGCGGGACTTGTTGGCGGCGAGCTTGGTGGTATTAACAAGGATATGTATTTTTCCATCTCTAATAAGCTATATTTTTTTTTTATAAAAATGCTTTTGAGAATTGTGTAGTTGTAGAGAGGATTTAAAGACATTCTAATGTAGTTTGTTAAATTTTGATACTTCTTTTATTCTAAACTACTTAAGGTGATAACAGATCTCTCACAGAATTTTTTAAAATCACTAAAATTTAAATATTATAATTTTGCTCAATCTTAATACATATTTGAAACTTTCATTTATATTTTTTTGAAAAATATATTACAAAGTTGATATTTCTCCCAAAAAAAAAACTTTGAAAACAAAAGCACAAGCCTAAAAAAACGCTGGAACCAAGGAAGCAGCAACCACTACATTTTCGGAAATATTCTAAAGTATATGAATATGATATACTAGCTGTCTCAACTGGTAGTAATAACTCAAGTAGAACTTAGGTTTTTAGTGTTCACTATAAATGAACCAAAAAATCATAAGTCAATCATAAATCAATAAAAACCTAAGTTCTACTTGAGTTATTACTACCAGTTGAGACAGCTAGATCTCTTTTGTTAATTTTTCAATCTTCAAATGTACCCATGTTGTGCAGATCCCATTGTGACAATTTTGGTATAATTTTCTCAATTTTTTTTAAAAAATGAAATTTTTATAACAATATAAAATCAAATCTTAACACAATTTCGCAAAAATTCTCTTTGGAGAAATTTTGGGCAGAAAAATTTGTAAATATCGTATTAAGCTTGCAACAATTAATATATTTTTCATTGTGAACATAAAATTTTAATTGTTAAGAGTATCCATCACATCAAAAAGTATTTGCAATTTCTTTGATTCTGAATATTCCAAAAAAAAAATTAATTGTAAAATTTATATACATCATATTTAATGTTTCAAAGGTATCACAAAGATATTAAAAACACTCAAATCATGCAACTTTGTGCTAATTTTACTTTCCAACTATGAAGTTTGATAAATAATTTATATTTTCAAAAAGTTATTAATTTTTTTTCCTTGAATGTTAAATAGTTTATCAAAATTTCAAAAAATTTCAAAAAATTTGCTAATAAAGCATAATTGAAATTAAAATTAAAGTGAAGCTAAAAAAATTGGAATTTGATTTCAAGTTTTAAGATTAAATAAAAATTAAATAAATTTTATTATTAAAATAGGTATTAGTAGAGTATCAATTTTAATAAGCCGTGTATGAATGTAAGTATAGATTGAATTGACTGATTTCCTTTTTGAAAATAATATTTTTGCCAAAAATATCAAATACCAAAATTTTTAAAATTTTCTTAAATTATCATAAATTGTATATTCAAAATCAAAATTGTATCACAATTTTTATTAATTGTCTTGTTCAAATTTACATAGGAATCCCAAATCTAAAACTATTATGTACAAAGAATGAGCAAAATAATGAAATTGAAAAAAATCATTATTTGCTGCATAAACTCTAAAATATTAGTCTATTGATCATAAAGAGACCAAAAAAATAACTTCTTCTCAGACTCTTATGTTTTTGAAACCCATCATTTCAAATCATATCCAAGCCGAATTCTTGTCCTATTGAATCATGCTATCCATAACATAACATGTAATACTTCAAGTTTTATCATCAATTTCATACCTCAAAACTTGACGATTAAAGTTGATGATAAATATCAAGGTTAAATTACCAAGATAAAATCATCATGAATCTAAATCAACAACTCATGTATTAGTAGGTGAAAAGACAGCATGCACTTGCATATTGAAAAGGTCATAAGGCAAGTAGGTGTATTCATTCGGACATCAACACGATGGAAAGTTGAATACAAGAAGAAGCCCTAAAGAAGTACGCAGTTTGTATCATTCATCTAGTTATTATTTCTCCTACTTCAATTCGTTTATCTAAACATTGCTGTTGTTTCACATCTGCATACTCTACAATTGAAAATTTCTCCTTTCTTATTTCTTTCGATGAACATTATAAAAACCAAATATGTAGGTTTTCACTTTGAAGATGAAACTGAAGTCATTTTTTGATCATTAATCTGTTCATCTTATGTAGTATCAATGGAGAGGCGGAATCTGATAATTACACAAACCATTCCTATATCAGATGGACAAGTACATTCGAGGTAGAATTTTAGTGCATATGTGGTGTTTTAATTTAATTTGAATGACAAGTTGACGACAGTAGAGACTATTCCAGCCTCAGCATTAGAGAGGAGTAAAACGATTTAATTACAGGATGCAGTTGAGTGGTCAAACTTTCTTGATGGCTTCAAGAAAGTACATGTTGTAGAGCTTTTGCAAGATTGCACCATAGTTAGAAAGTAGATGGAATGTTTGAGTAGCAGAACTCTTTTTCGATGATGAACGAAAGCACACTTGTACGTTTGGTTTTCTATATTTGTACCACAAGTTATGAGAGAAGCATGGTGTTGCCGCATGAAAGTTTCCATGTCAACAACCTTGGAATTGAATAAGAATACACAAAGAAATGACACAAGGAATCCACAGAATAGATACATGATAAGAAAATTTAATTTCATTACACTCTAACTAGATCTATAGAGACAACCTAACTTAATTTCAATAAACAAAATAAGATTTACTAAACTTACTGAATATATTTGATTAAGTGTAGTAAAACGTTAAATAGTAACTGGAGTATATTTTGACACTTTCGGTGCTATAGAACAAAAACCAGTTGGTTGGTAATGTGGTCACCTGTCATAGGGACATAAATCTTGGGGATGTTTCGACATTTTCTGACCGCGAATTGTGCTCGAGGGAATTTACCAGTACCTACAAAAAAAGCAGAGCAAATCCATCACACGAACAGAAAAGCAGAAGACTGCAAGCCAAGGCAAACAGGGTGGCCCAGAGAACATTTCCAACCCGAATCCTAGAACCGCACAGAAGTTTCTGCATTGATAACTCATGACACACGCGCACAAGAATCGAACAATTAGAAGCATCGCCGACGATCGAGAGCAACTTATTGAAGACTGACCACCAGAGCCAGAGAAGCTGTGCGCAAAATTGAGCTACGCCACAAACCGCATGCGCAGTTTCCACTCGTGTGTTGTCCGTTCCATTACCGTTACTAGTTCGGTTCAGTCTCAGAGGCAGTACCTGGCGGCTTTGGCCCTTGACTGGCATCCACTAACAGAAGAATAAGTTTCTCGCTCGGTTTGGTCAATCCATTTAATACCTCGCGAAACCGTGTCTCAGCTCGCAGCTACAGGAGTCATAGTCTGAGCTACGCGCTGGCTGGGCGCAGCTCGATCTGGGCTGGGCCTCGTTGGTGGGGCTCGAGTCGAGGGAGCTGAGGTACTCGCCCCTCGAGCCACAGACGATTTAAAGCTCCGATTGTCTACGAGACCGCATCGGCGGAAGAAGCGGAGCAGTGGATGCTGCAATGGCCGAGCCCGTCACCCGACGCAATCGGCAGAGGCCAAAGGTCAAACGAGGCAGCTGCTCTTAAAGAGCTTTGTCGAAGAAGCTTGAATTGCATGCAGAACGGACAGCGGGCAGCTAAAGCCAGAGCCATAGCTGCAATGAAGCAAGCAAGCAAGCGCCCGGGGCTCGAACTTCCTCCTGCCTCGGAAGCAGAGAGTACCACGAAAAAAACATCAGAGCAGCAGATGCTGGACCACGGGCCGTCGCAGCCGCTGCCGGATACGATCGTCGTCGAAAATTAAGACGACTAATTGATCGCCCCTACGCGTAGACATGGACCGAGACACAGGACAGTCAAAGCAGTTGCACGCTAAATTTGGTCGTGCTCCTTGACGGTTCCGGACGATGCACAGCTGACAGTTTGCAAGGTTTGCGGCGCGATGTAGGATCGCAATCCGAACGCTGCGACTCCCAGGGCCCACGTTCTCGGAGGGAGGAGGGTCTGACGACGCACCGCCGCGCAGAGCTCTCAGTCTTCCGTCGCAAGCTTTGCTGCTGCGTGTGCAAGAAGCCGTGCTTCGAACTCTCGTCTCCTTCGGGCTCGTGGGCGGAAAGCAGTCCAGTATAAATGAGGTGGTGGGGCCTGTGAAAGATGTACGCAGATCTCCACACTGCGGCGGCTCCCGTACCGAGCGCATGAGTAGAATCCCGGTGTCCGACATTCGGAAAGGCCTTCGCGACATTCTCGCAGACCTCTTTCGTCACGATTGCAGAACGGGGCTTTGGATATCATGCTCTGCACGGGCACGTGTTCCCGCGTGTACATTTCTCAGATCGGTTGTAGATTACAGCTTCGGGTTTCGGATATTCTCGAGTTCGCGCCTTCGCAAAATTTGAGATCAGCATCATCGCATTTCACGAATCTGAGGGGCGCCTCTCGCTGACTTGTCCGTCAATCTGCGTGCGAGCTACTCCCACCGAACTTTTATTTCAGAACAAGCTCCAGAATCAGATGCTGTGTTGTTGTTCATCGTGCTTCCCCAGAGATTCATTTGGCTGACAGGAATTCCTTCTTCATTCGGGACGTCGTGAGTCATTCCATCGGCTGCACAGAGTTTTCCGATTGAGATGGAGCTCGTAAAATCGCCCGAACGCTGAAAACGGGTAGTCGTTCGCTCGTCCGTCGCTCGTCGGTGTCCCAGACTTGATGCCACCTTCGAAAGCTTTAGATATTTTTCCATTTTTCAATCTTCACTCCATTCTGAATACGTCGAGCTGCGCGCTCAAAAATTGTCAAATGCCGGAAATCGGATCATCTGAACCTTCGAATCTCTCGGTCGAGGCTTCGAACTTACTCGCGTGTACCTGAACGCTGTGGAGTCGCGTAGCCGAGCACGAGAAGTCCCGGATAGCAGTGCAGGAGTAGAAGAACAGGGGTTCACGAGCATGGACTCGAAAGAACCTGAATTGTATCCGGTGGTGATACCACCAATTTCGCACCCACCATTCGAGTGTCAGGGAAAAGGCCTAGTGTACAAAAGCCACTCTCGCGAGTCTATCGACACCTTGAGGAGCTGGATCACGACCAAGCGCGGGAGATCGCCTCTGCAGCGACCGAAAATCTGGTGGCAGGCTCAGCTCCTCCTCTACGGCCTGGACCCCGGCAGCTTATCGGCCAAGCTAGCAGAAGTCACGCAGAAGCTCAAGGATGCACTCGCGAATGGCTTGCAGGCTCCGTGCCAGGAGATCACCGACCTCGAGAACGAGCTGAATGCCAAATTCCGGCGGTTGAATGCGGACGCCAGGGATGCCAAGTACCAGGCCCTGGAGAGCGACGAGAGCAGAGTCAAGTTCGATCCTCTCCGATTGTTACACGAGCGGTTTCCTCCCACGGGAAAGCGGAAGAGCGATGATTTCGTGGTACTGAAGATTCCGAGGCACGATCGGTATCAAGTGCACACTTTCGCCGAGAGGCTGGGTCTGTGCACCGTGAGCGCGGACGCCCCTGGGGCTGATGATGCTCGCTGGCTAATCGTCGGCAGCGACCGCGATGTCATCCTTGAACGCCGGTGGCAAATCGAAGCCGAGAGGAGTGGATGGATGGAAGAGAAGGCGAAGGCAAAACGACAGAGACTCGAGGCCAAAGCTCGAGAGCTGGAGGCGCACATTGGGCCCGGAAGTGGCACTCTGAGAGATGTGGTCGGCGAGTGGCACGTGGAATCTGCGAGCATTTCCAAGACGTGGCCACACCGAGGAACGGATTTCAGAATGTCCATTTACTTCCATTCGCTGGAGGAGAGTGACGAGCTTTCCGATGACCACGGGGAGAGCAGTGACAGCAGCTCTGACACGGTCGATGAGAAGCACGACAACACCACCGACTCCGAGCTGCTGTGGGCAAATTTCCACTTGGGTGTGTTGCACGGGGTCCTCCAAGCCGAAGCCGAGCTTTCGACATCCGGATCACTCCCGTCTGCCCCAATCCCTTTTGCTTGGCGAGGGCGTGATTCAGAAGAGGAGCAAATTCAGCTCGATACGAGTGGGCGAACCAACAGGGGCAGTCTGACATTTCTCAGTCCGACGAAACTGAAAGGCGTTCTCGAGGGTGCCGTCGGCAGTTTTGAGTTCGCGGGTAGTAAGGTATCCAAAATCCCTGCGTACAAACATCCCCAGGTGTGGAGCGATCTGACCCAGGACCAATGGGATGTCGAGCGCGTGAGTCGTTGGAGGTGAACGGAACAGGCGAGCTCCCTAATCTTCCATCTGGTTGAAGTCCTCTGAAGCGTTAACAGGCCACACCTTGTACATAGAGGAAAAGCTCAACGAGAGTACATGTTGTCGTCGTACATTTTACTAGGTGCCCGTCAGTCTGTCAAGCAAGTTGTAAAGTTCAAGATTCATCTCAGAAAGTTGCATGTAGATCAGAACATTGCTCGCGAAGTGGCTGAGACATGACGTGGAATTTGGAATTGAGAGTAGCTGGAAATCGTCTGCGCCAGGTTTTTTCATCTGCTGGTTCGGTTAGGATAGAGTTTTGACAGCGTCTCAGATGCTCTGAAAGCATCGCTTTGTCAACGGCGCCTGTTAAAAATCTTCGCTTGAACAAGTGTTTTCCAGTCTTCAGTAGTGATCTGGCATCAGCAGATGCCTGGCATGATCTTAAACGAGCACTTTGCCTTACGCATTGTACTCACCGACCCTCTAATACATCAGTTAGTCGTTCTTCAATTTGAACACTTCACTCCCAGAACCCCTAAAAAGGTTTGGTATTCTCCACATATTCCAGTCAATGTGGTTCTGCGGGTTTACGGTGAATAGAAGAGGAATGAACGGTAAAGTTGAGTATGTCTGATGCTCTCGCTGAAAAGCATTCCTGACCATTATACAGTATCCTAATACCATTAACTTGATGCAGCCAAAATGTTCAGTTTACAGAACACCGGATGAACCCTTCAACATTTGATCCTGGAACTCAGATGTTCTTGACACAACCTCAGCATTAGATCGAAACTTAACTGTGTCAGTCTATCCTCACGAAGGAGCTGTTAAGCGTAGATCATAAAAAGCTCTCAGATGAAAAAAAGTCGAAGTCTCTATTTAGTTGACAACGTGGACAGTCAAGTCTGAAAGTTTAAAACACGATCATATTCGTACATACCCAGCCTTGGAAACAGATCGAGGACGAGGAACATTTGTTACTCCAAAAGAAAACACCTCGAAATCTCAAATCCATGCAGTCGATCCGACTCCCATCTCAGCAGAATCAGCCGCAGTTGGTATCCCACTGTCACGGACAAACAGAGTGAACGTAGATATTTTCAGTCGGGAGAAATCGAACCCCAGAAAGTCGGTCGCCGGAGTGCCAGTCACCCAAGATCGAAGAACGGAAGTGGCCTTCTCCGATGCTGGCAGTTTCTAAGCAGAGCATCCAATGCTCTTCAGAGTCTTCAGACCGACACCTTCTGACTCCTCCGCGGACCGTGATCGGGATTGACCCTCCCCCATGCACTAGTAGGTGGCTGGAGAAGGTTTGCCGACGAGCATCAGCAAATCAGCCCGACGGGTGATACATCAAAAGCGCACGGATCAACAGGATGTACCTGGAGCAGTGTGGGACCTCGTGAGGAATGTAGCATCACTGATTCCGAATCAGTGATTCGTCATTCTATCGGAGCGTTGGACATTCTTAGATGGCTCACGATATTCAAGGGACTCGTCACCGAAGCTCGTCATTCATGCTGACAGGACATGGAGAACTACTCGCAAGTGCCGGAGAGCGCCACGTAAGGGCCACAAGACTTTGCTGCTGACAAGACAGAGGCCCGGCCAGTTGGCGTGAGATCAGGTGGATGAAAGCTGTCTCGAGGTTCCAGACTGATCTTCCTCGTATAAGATCACGGGGCTGAGGACTTTTCCCCACCAAGTCAAGATTGTTCAGCAAAATCTACGTCTCAGAGTTTCTTCTAGCTACGTTCGAAGGTGAAATCTGAAACTTGCTCGAGTTCACTGTCGGCCGGGCGAGGTTGAAGCACACTGTCAGTTTTGTTCTGCTGTCTGTCTGAATTCGGCAACCGAGCTTCGTCGTCGAGCCAATGGAGTCCAAAACGGAGGTGTAAATGCGCACGAGCTTTGATATCTTTGAAAGGCTAATCTGATTTCGTTTGAAGCTTATTGTAGAAATGCAGCTTCCAATTTTGATCTGCTGGACGTGAACAGCAAGCAGGCATGGAACTAAAGCAGGTTGCTGTTAGCTCTGGGATTTAGGCTCTCGCAGCTGCTGACATCGAGTTGCCTCATGAATTTGCAGTTGCAGAAGGAGGTTCTACGTGACAGCCTCGAGGGCACATTGTCGGATCATCCGACCCAAGGCTCGCATGGCGTCAACTACCACCATGCTTTTACAGGAACGGAGGGCTACGCGTTCTACATGCCCACCTGTAAGTCCTCAGACACAAATACACTCACAGACGAAAGGCATCTCATGATCTGCTATCGCTCCTCGAGTTCCAGACTTCCACGCAGTCGATGACTTGTCTGACCCGCTGCTTTTCCTCCCTTCCCTTGCAGTGAATCTGATCGGAGTGGGCGCTCTGAACGGAGCTGGAGCTCAGATCTCCGAGCTCGGATACAAGAAGGCACTCATCGTTACCGACAAAGTACGACGCTCCAATCCTCTCTCTTCGAGAAATTCACTGGAGGGAGAGCTTTAGTGTCGCTATCTAGAATCATGGTCACGCATTCACAGTGTATGACGCTCCGACTGTGACTCGCAGGTTTTGGTGAAGGTGGGAGCAGTCGATGCGATCACGAAGATCCTGGACGGGATTAAGGTCGAATACGCGATCTTCGACGGAACGGAGCCAAACCCCACGGACATTCAGGTCGCCGAAGGCCTGGCTCTGCTGAAGAAGGAGGACTGCGACTTCATTATATCGTTCGGAGGCGGATCGCCCCACGACTGCGCGAAAGCCATCGGCGTCCTGGCGACCAACGGAGGTAGGAATGTCGGTCTTAGCCCGCTTTGCAGAGGAATGAATGTCGGCTGATTCGACTCTGTAGAAATTTCATGGAGATGGGAATGAGCGATTTTTCTCAAGCGGTCCTGTCGGACGGACGGTGATGCAGGCATTATACAGGACTACGAGGGTCTGAACAAGACCACGACGGCCATGCTTCCCGTCGTCGCCATCAACACCACCGCAGGAACGGGTGCCGAGATTACACGGTTCGCCATCATCACCGACTCAAAGCGCCACGTGAAGATGGCCATCATCGACTGGAAAGTGACGCCGACTATCGCCGTGGACGACCCCGTGCTCATGGTGAGTCCCGGAGCTCAGTTCATCGTCACCTGAGACTTATATCCAGAATGGCTGTGGATTGAAATTGTTGTTTGAGACAGCCTTCTCAGCGGTTTGATCGCCTGCGCAGGTTGGGATGCCCAGATCTTTGACTTCTGCCACTGGAATGGATGCTCTGACGCATGCGATCGAAGCGTACGTGTCCACCATCTCGAATCCTGTCACCGATGCATCTGCTCTCCATGCGATGAAGCTCATCAAAACATACCTGCGCGATGCTGTGCACGACGGCAAGAATATGAAGGCTCGAGACATGATGTCCTACGCCGAATTTCTGGCTGGAATGGCATTCAACAGCGCCAGTTTGGGTTACGTGCACGCGATGGCTCATCAGCTAGGAGGCATGTACAATCTGCCACATGGAGTCTGTAATGCCGTTCTTCTGCCAGTGGTTCAGGTTTTTTTCTCCCTGGCCTCTGAATTAGCGACTTTTCTTTCACAACAGATGCCGCTCCTGCAATTGAATGTCAATTGGGGACCTCTCTCAATTCAAGCTTTGAAATTTTCCTCTGACTAGATCCCATGTTTGGTATCATCCTTTTGCTAACTCAATTTGAGCTGTCTCAACAGGAATTTAATGCGAAAAAAGTACCGATTTTATTCATCGACATTGCTGAAGCTTTTGGCCACCATGATATTGGAGAGGATGCCGACTTGGCCGTCAAGAGGGTTCTGGATGACATAAGGTGCGTGACATGTTGAAGTTCTAGTCTAACTTTGATGCCGAATACTTTCTCCGACGACAAGCTCGTTTCGTCAGAGCCCATGGTCTAATTCCTACTTTCTCATGAATGGACTTTCTACCGGGATGTTGCGGCCTGCAGGTCTCTGAACAATGACATCGGCATCCCAAAAAATCTGGCAGAAATGGGGGTTAAACCCGAGGATTTCGAGCTTCTGGCAGAGAATGCAATGAAGGTACGAGTCAGTCCTCGTTCGTTCCTAGATCCGGCTCAGATTTAGAGGGCAGAGTCTTCCAGCAGCTGCGGGTTTCGAATTGGGAATTTCGAAGCTCTCAGAAATGCAGAATGCTAATTTTACTGTGGAATATATATATGTCATGCATCCGACGCTCAATGACCTTGCTCTGAAACTCTGAAACACGGTCGATAGTTGCAGTCCCTGTCGGCGCGATCTCTAATTTTGGTCCGTTTGCAGGATGCTTGTGGATTTACCAATCCACGTGTGCCTACCAAGGAGGAAGTGATTGAGCTTTTCCGACTTTCTCACGTACAGTAGGCAGACTAGACTCTCTTAGAACAAGGCGATGAGTGCTCAGCTGGAAAAGGGCAAGTTCTCCATCTGCCGGCTGAAGTTGCTGCGGCGTTCTTCTCAGCGGAGTAGAGGGGGACACAACCTCACATGTAAAAAGGACCAGAAGTCGACGCGAAAGAGACAAGCAAGACGATTACGACAGACAATGGAAACATCGACTGTAGTCATAAAGGAGTGAGGACCCCATGCTTCGAGAGGGTGCCAAACACGAGCGATCGGACAGATAGGCAATGTTTCACTCAGCTTTCAGAGCCCGAGAATTTATATCCAGCGTCTTCGCAATCCAGTCATGCATGCTCGATAGGTGTACTTTATGAAAGCCTGAAGATTCTCCTCAGCTCGACCTCTTTTGTTGATTTGGAGTGGTAGTCGAGCACAAATTCCCTCTCTGGCGCAACAAGTCTTGATAGAGTTCCGTTGACTACGAGTTTAGTCAAGATGCACATAATCGATTGAGGTAGCCTCTCGGAGAATGAAGCCTTTGAGAGCGGGCGTGACCCCATGCAACTGCTCTGCCTGAAAGTAGCTTCCTAGATATCATTTTGTACATAGTCAGGCCTACACTAAACGCTTTAGAATCTCCGACATCGAACTGTTTGATTCTGGCATTTCCACTGCATGCCACTTGATTGAAATATTCATAAATGTGTATTGTACACAAATATCTTCAAACCTGATGTTACTAATTTTAATCTTCTGTAACCTTAGCGCTCACGGTGCTTGGTTAAAGTTCTATGTATGAAGTGCTATATGTCCGGTCTCAGCTATCTTTGAACGCAAAACGTAAAGCCTTGTATGACGAAGAGTTCGTCATTGCTGCAAATAATACGTGATAATCCCTTTTGAATCCTTTATTCATTGGTTTCTTGTTCCATTCCTTTTCACATGAATGTCTTTACCGATGCTAGACCCAGAGATGTTGTCACTTCAGATCCTAGCCCGTAGGAAATAAGATGAAATTTAAAACAAAAGCGAGAATCGAGTAATTTCCAGAGTAAGTTGCTAAATAATCTTAACTTGAGAAGTTAAATAATAGCCCTAGGGTTATGTGGATGTATGCTTGTTCAAGTGAGGAATAATCATCTTAATCTTCTGAATCGAATTTCAATGATCATACCATTGCGATAATTCCTTCCTGCTAATTAAGAGACGGTTAATCTTCCTTAGTTTATAATCTTACGAAGATTAAATCTACAGTACTGTTGCCAGAAGTGGTGAAGGATATAACTCTGTGGACGCTCATGTTCCCAAGGATTACGGCCATACTTTTAGCTTTTCTCTGCTTTTAAGGAACTTTCAACACACACAGGAGGGATAGCGTTGTCCTGAAAAAAACACATGACCAACAAATGATTCTCATGACAATTAGTAACACCCGAGAAAGAGGAAACACTCGAGCAATTAGGAAAATACCAGCTGCAACCATAGTTGCAGCATTGATAAGGGCTACGTGCACTGCTGCTATGATAAAATTTGTGCTTCGACGATTCACAGCATTGGGGATTCCGCCTCGGTGTTCACTTTAAGACTTTCCAGGTCCAACTTGTCATGAAAACTATCATTCCCGGATGCATTCGACGCGACAACAACTTCTGAGGATTCTTTTCTTTTCACCACATGCAGGTCAACTGGACAGTCCGGATTTGTATCATATCCCTTTGAAATCGATTGTGATAATGGAAATTTGTGACGATTGCGTCAGGACAATTGTGGTCACTCCAATCCCTCTGAGACAGTTATGAAAGAAGAAGCTAAGTTGACTACGTTGTGTGTTTCAGACATGTGTTTATGATTTTGCAGCTAACTAGGTGAATCATTACCTGGTCTGCCACAAGTCGACGTTCATGGGCATCGTGAATGACGACTACGTAGATGCTGATAATTGCACGAGCAAGATAGCGGGGATGTGAATCTGACAGAGTAGATTATAAAGAGATTGTGCAGGAAGAACGAATTCTTTCAAAATCAAGAGGAAAAAAAATGGTTCTTTTGTACAGTGCGGTCAGTGCACAGCACAGAATGCTGCAGAGCATAGATATATCATTAGCGAATGAATGCAAGTTCTTTCTCGGATCCTGCATTTTTTGGAAGAAGTTCAGATTCCAAGATAGAACAACATCAACCAGGCCTGGAGTTTAGCAGGAATAAAATTTTGTGGGATTACAGATCAGTTCTTTTGCCTACAGTCGTCAGGAAACCTTCAATGAATACAAAATTCGGTGGTGAAACATCTTAGCAGGAAGATTGAGTATTTAATTTGAGGGTTAAGAATATTATATATTTTCCACCTTACGACCTTCAGATCCATCCGTGCCCGAAGGAACCGATCGATTCCCAATGCAGGAGAGTATGACATCACGCAGCCTAGATTCTCTTTTGAGGGAAACATCAACAATGGCATCTGCCCATTGCAAACGCTGATAAAAATGCACCAACAATTTGGGGCGAGTTTGGAGAAATATCTAGCCAAAAGCGATTTGGACGAAAAGTGGCAAATTAGAAGGAATGAGCTCTGTCCCGACAAAAAGTGGTGCCTTAAATAGAATCTCCAAGGGGTGTGTCATCCGCAATGGAGTGCTTGATGTTTTCGCTAATGACCCCATGAAACTATCAAAAATATCTGTACATACAAGGTTTGCCTATCTTGCAATTATCACACTCCCTCCTACTGGCCAACTCCAAAGATTTGCAGAGAGCAGAGGGTAGAAACCATGTAGCATTATACTTACAATCTACCAGAAGTCCACAAACATGCAAACGTACACCAGGTTCTAGGGAAACGAGGAATAATTCAATGCCAAACGGTCTGTATCAATCTGCCATGATAATTAAGACTTCCATGATCCCCTAGTATATACCAGTCTTCTAGGTACGCTTCGGTCAGCGTCCATTGTGATTTACATGTGCAATCACAACTGTTCAGATGTCATCGTCCTCAACATCCTTCTCTTCACGAATATAGGAGAATACGTAAAGCGCCATCCCCAGAAATCCAGTAATATTGTGGAAAAGCTGGCCGGCTCTCCCGACCTTCTCCTGGAAGATGTAGGCGAGGTGGACCTCTGCTGTCATTAGAAAATTATCAGATCCGTGATTGCAAACCCAGAAAGGAGCCGGCTCAAATGGGACCTGACGGGGGTGCACACGAGCATCAACAGGTCCACACGCCAGAGTTAGGTTAGATGATTCCAACAGCAATGGCAGCCAAGAGACCGAAGCTCCACTCGTCTCGTCTGCAGGAATGTGAAGTCGAGTCCTCATCATCGGCGACCAGGCGAGCAAGCGCCCAATTCGCTTCGTCGGAAACGGACATTCTCGAGTTATACGCCCGATTCACGGGCCCCGTCACCGCGGGGTCCACTGTCGTGCTGACGAGGCCCACGCTGACAGCGCAATGAGGCCCTGCAGAAGCGCCACGTATGGGCCGTGGACGATCCCTGCTGACGAGACAGAGCTCCGACCACTTGGAGAACAGTCTCGCTGAGAAATCCCCTCTACCTCACGCCCTCCTCCGCCACCGCGACCTTATAAGCCAACGGGCCCTGCGACTTTCAACGCATCGAGCTGTTGTTTGTGTTCATTAAGAGAGCAACTGGGATCTTCTGATCGTGAAAAAAGTCGAGTGCGGATCGACATTTCTCTTTTCATCTTTGAGCTCTGATCGCTGTGTGTCTTGATTCGAGAGATTTCTGTTTTACTGCAATTCAAGCGAAGCCGTGTCGTGAATCCCTTCAGGCATATTGCGCTGGGAATCATGGCGGCTTGCATGCCTCTCGCCTGCAGTGTGCCTTCCGTTCGCGTGGGGGCCCTTTCACAGGTCATTCCCAATGGCCCCTCGGAGGTTCGGATTCCCAGTGGAGCTTCAAAGTTTGCACAACTCGTCGATTGCTCGGGTCGAGGGCGAAAATCGCACCGCACCGTTACATCGTACTCCTCGATCGGCATGCGCATCAGCGCCACATTGGCGCAGGAATCCCAGCAGACCGAGGTTCGATTCTCTCCTTTGTACGCAAGCTCGAGTACTTTCCTCGCAGGCTCATTGAAGAACAGTCGGTCGTGAATTGAGGGGAACAACTGATGAAGAAACGAACTTGTGCTCTGGCTGCTCTGCTATATTCCATTGACTTTCTGCTGTTTCGCTCTCAGTGTCTTAGACCTACTTAGAGAAATGCTTAAAGGGCCACACTTGATGGTTTTGTAGTTACAGCGGGAGGTTCTACATGACAGTCTCACTAGCACTTTGATGGATGATCCCACACAAGCCTCGCATGGAGTCAATTACCACCATCCCGATGCAGGAACAAACGGCTACGCGTTCTTCATGCCCACATGTAAGTCCTCCAAAGAGCAAAATTGAGTCCATTCGGCAATCGATCTGAAAGTCCAGCCGGCATACGCTTATTCTATTCCCTAATCCAGTAGCGACGATGAGCTCCACAAATTACTTTTCTTTCTTCTGGGGCTTGCGATTGTTCTCACCCGAAACCTGTCTTCATTGACTCTTCAGTAAATCTTATCGGTGTGGGTGCTTTGAACGGAGCCGGAGCACAAATCGCTGAGCTGGGATTCAAGAAGGCTCTCATTGTCACGGACAAAGTACGATCATATTGTCTCAATGTTTCTAATCTCTCCGAGACCAAGGTTTAGTTTTTCACAGTCCATAGAAAAAAAACAAAAAAAACAGAGGTTTAGGTCTAGTTCGGTCTAGTTCGGTCTTCAGTTTTTTTTTTGGCGGGTAATAATCGACGGGACTCCAATTGCAGGTCTTGGTGAAGGTAGGGGCTGTTAACGCCATCATCAAGGTGCTGGACGAGATCAATGTGAAGTACTCAATTTACGATGGCACGGAACCCAATCCCACCGATAAGCAGGTCGATGAAGGAGTGGCAATGTTGAAGAAAGAAGAGTGCGATTTCATCGTTTCATTCGGGGGCGGATCACCTCACGACTGCGCCAAGGCTATCGGCGTCTTAGCCACCAATGGAGGTGAGAAATTTGGCGTGAGCTGAGGAATCGGTGCATGTAGACAGCGAGGTCGGTTGTTTTGGTCCGGAATTTGTCGGGCTCGATGAGGAGAATTAGACGAGGTTCCAACTGCTTCGTTGTTGTCTATGCAGGGAGAATCCATGATTACGAGGGTCTCAACAAGACCAAAAACGCCATGCTTCCTCTAGTCGCCGTGAACACCACGGCTGGAACCGCTGCTGAGCTGACTCGCTTCGCCATCATCACAGACACCAAGCGACACGTGAAAATGGCAATTATCGACTGGAAAGTAACTCCCACTATTGCCGTGGACGATCCTACGCTCATGGTAGGCCGCACAACGATGTAGCTTAATTCGCTTACTTGCGGAGCTCAATCTTTCGTGTGCTCTCGGTTAAATTTTACTGACGAGCAGCGAATCCAATTTCTTCTCAGCGTACCTCCAAATTCATTCGAGTTGTGTACTCATCCTTCTTCTCGGATTTTGGCGCTCGGTCTGTAGGTCGGAATGCCCAAGTCTCTGACTGCTGCCACGGGCATGGATGCGTTGACCCATGCGATCGAAGCGTATGTATCCACTATCTCGAATCCTGTCACCGATGCATCTGCACTCCACGCCATGAAGCTCATCAAAACCTACCTGCGGGACGCAGTCACGGACGGCAAGAACTTGAAAGCTCGGGACATGATGTCGTATGCCGAGTTTCTGGCCGGGATGGCTTTCAACAGCGCCAGTTTGGGATACGTTCACGCCATGGCTCATCAGCTCGGTGGCATGTACAACTTGCCTCACGGAGTTTGCAATGCTGTGCTTCTGCCCGTCGTTCAGGTACTGATCAGGGTTTAATCATTATATGGGTTTAGCTCCTCTCATGTCGATCCAGAAATTGACTCCGAAAGTCTGTGAGCATGCATGTTGTTACTGCTTGTACATTCCAGATTCTGGATGTGTTCTTTGCTCTGATTGGTCATTTCTCCTAAGGTTCTCTACTCACCGAGCAATGCACTGGGCTGCAGGAGTTCAATGCCAAGAAAGTACCGATTTTGTTTATAGACATTGCTGAAGCTTTCGGGTATCGTGATATTGGCGAGAACGCCGATTTGGCAGTGAAGGTGGTTCTGGAAGAGATCAGGTCAGTCACCCGCTAAAGCTTTCGAACGCGTGGGATACATACATCTCAATTGAGCTCTACCGATCGACCGAAACTTTCAAGGCAATAACATATTCGTATGCTATACTTGCAGATCCTTGAGCAAAGATGTTGGTATTCCCAAGAATTTGGCGGAGCTTGGAGTCAAACCCGAAGACTTTGAAGAGCTGGCAGAGAATGCTATGAAGGTAAACTCTGCTCTGGCTTTCGGAGCCTAATCTCCAGGACCAGTGGCATGCTGAAGCCTCTGACAATGAGATGCTGACCCTTGTCCTGACTCCTGTTCTCAACACTTATTATGGCTTTCCGTGCATGGACTGTGTGCAGGATGCGTGTGGCTTTACCAATCCCCGTGCTCCGACCAAGCAGGAAGTCGTGGAACTTTTCCGTCTTGCTCACGAGCAGTAGTGAATGAGCAGCTGTTACAATGTCCGATCCGGCGAGCATTCAAGTCAAGCTAACCTTTCTCAAGCACAGACACAATGGCCAAAAGAAGAAGAAACTCTCTAGCTCTGACAGAAGCTTATTGAGAGGCACTCTCTAAGGTATAGACTGAACACGATACAAAATGACAGAGGCAGTGCAGAAACGACACGACGGTGGAAACATCGCTTGTAGATAATGAGGGGTGGTGACCAATGCCTGAATTAGAATGGGTGTCATATATCCAATAATCCAAATTCTGAAACTTCATAAATTGTAGAATGTAAAAACAGAGCTTTTTCCACATCTCTAATGCAGATGGTTTTTTGACAACAAACCGAAGACTCCTTAACCTTGACTATCGATTCACCCTCGTCTTGGAGTTCAGGCTCATGGTATAGGAAGCTCAGAGGAAGCTATGATCGAGGATTTAGTCGCATCGCCTCATCCAAAACAGCGTTAGAGTTATGTGAGAGAGACAGCAAAATATTTAGCTAGAAGCGCTTCGAAGCTGAGAGCATTCAGCAACGTGGACTGAAATACACAAGCCAATCTCTTGTGCATTTCCAATTCATTAATACGAACGAGAGCTGCTTGAATTTTGTATGATATTTGGACAGGCATCATGGTTATATACTTTTCTTTGATGGCTCTTGCAAAGGGCACGTCTGAATTTCTTCTAACATTTCTGAGTTATTGAACTGCTCTTTAAATAAGAATTTGAATGAGCGAATTTCCAGGGTGGACTGACTGAACACTTCCTGAGGTTGTTTTTATTTGCCCTCAAGAATTTGAAAGTTGCTTTCTCTCAAAAATTGTCATGAATTTGTTATATCTCTAGAAAAATGGGAATTGAGCAAAATTAGAAAGATTGGCCCGTTGACATTTTATCAAAGGCCATCGGTCTCCTCATGAAGGTGAAATGTGCTATCTTGTCGAAACAGTCAGAATTGTATTTGCACAGGTTTTACATCTTGTCCGTGGTTCCCTGGATGTAATGAGTTGTTCCTTGTATTCTAAAGACTGCAGTGTGTATCCGGTATTCTAATGCTCATCTAATGTTAAGGTAGACTCTCTACTTCGCTTATTCGGTGTTTTATACAAAAACAACTCTCTGCTACCATATGCGATTGATTCTTAGAAGAACCTGAGTTACAAAAAATTGAGTATGAAGCGATATGCTCTTTTACTCTTCATTACAGGTTATATTTGTCATGTGACAACCTCTGGATATTACCAAGCGATGACATCTTTTTGTTTGAAATATTTATTTTTTGAGTTAGAAAGTAAAGGACACTTTAGACGCGGTGGCATTCTTCGCTTGATCTTGAAATTCAGAAGATGACCTAAATGACGATATTTGACAATATGTACATTTTTCACAATAGCTCGTTGTTTGAAGTTGAAGCTTGTACCATCAAGTATGACATAGTACGTAGGAGGGCTTGTCACTCATGCTATGATGCAAGGAGCCGAATCAAGAAAATCTGCTAAAGTCTTAATACCTGCTGACTAGCCAGGACATGCAATAGAAAATTACCCATCTGCAGCTGGCCATTAATTTGTTAGTTTGTAATTTATTCTCCAAACATGAAAAAACTGCTTCAAATGATTAAGCACCCTGCCTGTTAACTTTCAAGCTTAAAATGTATTACTTGTTTTTTAGTTTGAGAGATTATGTTTCCAAAAATATATACTTTTAGTCAATATTTTCTCTTACATTTTCTTGATATCCTATATATTTGTTCAACGTGACAATTGAAAATAGAAAAACTAAATCAATTTTGAGAAAATATGAATTTCAATTATATTTTTTGTTTTTTTCGTTTTTATTTTTTTATAGTTCTTTTTTGCTTACATAGCTATCAATTGACTTGAACAAGATTTTACTTTGGTTTTTTTCTAACAGGTATTGAATCATTTATATACACAAACATCCATTGCTTTTCAAGATTTACTTAAAGCTAAATTGGATTGAAAAATAAACATATGAATCACTATATTTATAAACTCAAGATGTTACATTTGATTCAAGTATGTTTTAAAGTAGCTAGTTTTAAACCTTGTTAGGTTTTCTATAAAAGCAAGCTAGCCAAAGTTCTCAATGAACACTTTAGAGCTTTTAATCTATAAAGTTATCTGAAGTGAATGCACCCCAAACGAACCAACTGTCATTTTCACCCACATCAATATCTTCGTCAACGTTACTAGCGTGGTCGCCGACATATCCATATGCTGATCTTGGTCCAAGGCTCAACCCTAGTTGTCAAACCAAAGGACTCCCTCAATTTTTGCGGTATAAATATCATGTACCGAATCACACTTTCCTCAACATAATGGAGACATCACAACCTACTGATGATCAACATTCATTAGCTGAAGTTTTCAAGAATTCTTTGTAACTTGTCAAGCTTCCAAAAGTCAAGCAAGCTCTGTCGTCTAAATGGATTTTCAAGGCCACATCTCAACTTGATGCTATAACTCAAAGATTAAAAGTGTGTCTAGTAGCTAGAGGATTCAAACAAAAGCATGGCATTGACTACAATGAAACGTTTGCTGCAAGGAAAAAAAATTGTTGGAAGTGATGCAAAGTTTCATTTGTGAAACGCATGAACCAGATACATGTAGAACGGATGTAATAATTAATGAACGTTAGCAAGTACTTAAACTCGATCTTTGCTTAAATTGGTCTGCATAGATCTGTGAGACCGAATGTTGCACATGTGTATTAAGTTGTAGAAGTAGCCAAGTGATTAATGATATTTAGCCAATACATAGCTAAGTCTAGCTAGTTATGACTAAACTAGTTAATTATAACTAAGTTTATCTAGTCATGACTAAGTTTAGCTATAATATATACATTTGATGGAATAATTAGCGACGTTCTAGAAGATTGGTATGAGCACTTCTATTTTGTCTTTTATAAAGGTCTAGATTTCGAGGGATTGAACTTTTGACTATAAACTTAGATTTGATTGGTTTGACTAAATGTATGAAAGATGATTGGTTACACTAAATTTATGAAAGATAAGTGTCTAGACTAAGTCTAATGTTGACTTAGTGGCTAGGAAGCTTCTAGAAGTTATAAAGATTTCAATGACATGTCGTCACTTCACACTCAAATTCCGGAAACTTCTAGAATGTTTAGATAGGCCAATGGCATGTTGCCACGTATAGTGGATTAGTCAAACTTACCTATAGAAAAGTGAGTTAGAAGAAATTACCACATGTTATTATGGTAATATTTCAAGTAGTATAAATAGAGAAGTAGACTAGTAACTCTTAAGCAAGTTTGGAGAGTTCATGTGTAAAGACTTGTTTCATATATAAAAGAGATACAATTTTCAGTACCTTATAGTGTCGATGTGTGTGTGAATTGGAGTGATACTTTGAAGTATTGTGTGAGTGGGTGTTTGGGCTATGAGTATGAGGAGTAATCCTAGTTTTCTACAATCATAATGAGCTACCGCAAAGCCATCTTAGGTAAACCTGACTGAGCATCAGCTCGAAGGTTGCAAATCGCTGTGATCTAACTATAGTGGTCAAGTCGTTTTCTTAACTACAAGTTTTGACTTTTTTGAACGATGCTGCTTTGCAAGATCACATGTCTCACAACGTTTATCTCTACCAACCTAGAGACAAAGAAGTACATGCACAAGCTGTTTGGAAGCCATATGATGTGTTGTTTGATGACAAATTTGACACAATCTTTTGTGACACAAATCAGTGAGGTCAGAATTGCTTGAAAGTTATTGTTTAATGATCTCAACAAAGATAGATGATCCAACCGGGTTAGATTGCTTATGTGTCGGATCAAATTATTGAAGCATGTGAGAAAGATAATGAGCATTGAACTGTTGCATCTTAGGAAGAAGTCAATATAATTTACTTCAAGTATCACGTTGGCTAAAGAGAAACAACCATTGAAGATTGGTCTTGTTGAGTAAAAAATAGTAGGCAAAAACAAACACCATAAGTACACTTGAATCTGATAGTTTTCTTACACATAGTAGGTTTTTAGTAAGAACTAGCATGTAAAGAATTGGATTGATCTCTTTTACTTTAATCAACTTACAAAGTTCCTTTGTCAATAATAGCTAAACAAGTTTCACTAGCAATAGAAATCCCAAAGTGAGAAGAATATGATTGATATGAGCTAAGCGTTGACCTATTACTTGTCACATGGCTACTAGCTCCAGAGTCTAGCAAGTATTTTTTGGATTCATGTAAAGGCAAGACTTCTAGCTCTATTGACTCACTATCTAAATCCTCTTCTAGATCGTTATTGCATTTGTATTCTAAGTTGGCTTGTAGTTTAACTCAACGCATGTTAGAAGCACGGAGTTATAACTGCGTTATCTGCTCATTGAGTTTCTTCGAGTCACAATCAGATTTTCAGTGATTCAGACGACCACAATAATTACAACTGATATTTTGTCAAGTTGACCAGGTGCCATTTTTTCCTCTTGCTCGATAAGCAGAAGACTATGAGAAGTTCGACTAAGAAAACTAGGAACAATCACGCTAAGAGGGATGTTTGCAAAAGTTGAACTGTGTGATTGCATTAGCAGTGTCATACCCAAGTATTTTTCGACTAAAGACGCTGTATTAGATCTGTGAAGTTAGTTGGAGGATCTCGAGAAAGGTTGCTACTAAAGGTGGAGACAAACGGTGCCCACGAGAGTCTAATGAATAAATCGTTGTCAGAAGATCAATGATTAATGTCAGAATGTTGGGTCTTAAGAGACTAAATAGTCTAAAGGTACTATTTGACTGTGATAGGAGCACGCAGCTTAAGAGTAGCAAGCTTTTCACTTATCATTAGCTGATGCTGAGCATTATCATTAGCTGATGCTGAGCATTGTTAAATTGATATATAATGAGCAAATACGTATCGTATTTGACAAAACTGGCAATATACAACGTATTTGTCTTTAAACCTGGAAATGGACAAAAAAATGTAAAAAAAGACACTAGCATATATCATGACAATTTCTTTCATGCGACAGTGGCGAATAGTAACGTCATCATCAGCACCAAGAGGAACAGGTATGAGTACGGTTTTGCTCGTAGATTTCTCTGTTGCGAGGCATGATCTTAAGTCTCACAGACCAATTCATGTATTCTATTGGATTTAGCACCATGCATTGCGACAAAGTGATCTACGAGTGAACGGTACTTGACCTAGTATCTTTTGACCCGTGAGCTTTTCCTCATGACGAAACAGAAAAGTAGAGTTGTAAATTTTGTCATCTACGGCGGGTATGGAAGTACTAGACTATGTAGCGTGAGAGAGAGAACACTGCTCTTGGTGTAAAACTTGAGAGAACTAGTCAAGATTAGTCAACCACAAAAGATCGGAGCACTCACTTTGATACCATGTTGTGAAAGAATTATAACTTGATATGAAGTATGCAACACAACACTTAAGTAGTTATTCACTCAGACACAACATTTGATCTAAACCTAGAGCCTTGGACAACATCAAACTGTTCTTCTCACTAAAGATATATTAACTCATAACACTATGTTCTTGTAAGAGAACATAACCGGTCATTGAGGAGAAAATGCAATAGAAATATGTACAACTTTCGCCTCCTCAATTGGCTGATACCTTGTAATGGTAGTGAATGTTCAAAATTAGCAGATTGATTCTAAGATTTTTTTATGGTTGTTTGAGGGTATCTTCAATAGAAGTGCAATTCAAAATAACATTGTTCACTAAAAGAGTTATGCTGAATATGACAGGCAATTCCATACACTTCGTCAATATGTGGACAACTTTGAGGTAATAAGATCAAAAATCTGTAACAAATTAGCTTGGAAGTGTCCCTTGAGAAGTAGAATGGGCGAAGCAATTTTCCACTGCAAGGAGCCAAACAATCTGCAACACGATTCTCATGGCCATTATTTGGCACAATTGGTGAGCTTTTGTGGTAAACATGGTATTTTTTACTTGTAAGCTATTTAAATTTCATTAGTACTATTTATTATGACTCAATAAACACTTAGATGCCTTACCTAATCATGAAATCCTTATCAAACTTTGATTAGCTTTTGAATCTAAGTAGATGTCATTGTTACTATTAAGTATCATTCAATGAAAATTTACATATGTAATTTCATGATGAAATTGGAATGATATTTTGATTCAAAGTTAAAAACATATATTTTAAATTTCAAAAGAATAATTTTTTTATTATTTAAATCAACAATTTCAATCAGATGTTATTGAGAATATAAATTTTATTTCATATTAATTTAAGAAAAGTAACCTAGTAATAAATTTGAAATTCAAACTTTTTGTACACTATTTTTAGTAAAACAATTGAACATTTTGTATGAAACTGTTAATGATTCACATACTTATTAAGAGTTTGGGGTTTAAATATCCATATTAATATAAAAAATTTTTATAAAATTTTATATATTTTTATAAAATTTTATTGAAGCTGTAAATATTATATTTATATATATAATGCCTAATGTAAAGAATAATATGTTTCAATTCTATATACTTCTATGTTTTTATTGGAAATAATTTGTAATTTAGATGTTAATGAAAATAAATTCTCAATGAAAAATTGCTACTGGACCAAATGTGTGCAATAATCAAGAAGAAACAATGTATATCTTACTATTTATTTGTTGATAATCTGAGTTAGCTGGGTGTTAACTGCTATTCTACCTAAATTTGCATATATCTACTAAGGATGGTATTATTTACTATTATTTAAATCGTCACAGAACAAACAATGGAATGGATATAACTACACCAATAATTTTCAACTAAGACCTAAACTTCTCAATAATCTAGAGATTAATGTTTCTCTTGGCATTTCATCAATAAAAATAGAACTTATTGTTAGAACTTATTAGCCTTACACGGACTAACACAAGCAGCAATTTTGTTCAACATCTTCCTGTTCCACATTTTACTCTCTGTTTCACTTCCTTTTTTGATCTTAAACACGTATTTAATAACCCTTTTCTTGGTGGAATGTTCCTCTACCATACAATAATTTTGAACCTAGCTCATAAGAAATATGTGCGTACAAACAGTGAAATTGAAGAGATCACACGCACAAGAATTTGCAATATAGGGACAAGACGATAACGTCACACGAAACTCTGCCTGGGGAGTCAGTGAATCTTTTTAGTTCAGACGGATGATATGTTCCTCAGGTAATGTGAGGCAATTCTCTTCGAATAATCCGAACGCTGGCTCATCTGAGGATGTCATGCGTGGCTCTTGAAAGAGTGAGCTTCATTCACATGTCATCTGAAAAATCTGACATTGCTTTCGGGTGATCTGAACAACTGCAATGTTGCGGTGAACGTAGTTGTTTCAGAAATGTGTGAAGTGGGAGAAAGTTGATTCCAGGGAACTGTTAGGAACCTGAACCCGACGGTCACATTCAGAACATGATCGGACATGCTATCTACAAATTTACAAACATTTTCCGATGATGCCGTAGTCTAAAATTTCGACATCGGCATTATACCACGCGTATTTTGCGGATGTGGTATAATAGTGTGAACCAAAATTGACGACCAACCAATACGGAATACTGATATTCCTTAAAGCTCACCCCACCATGAAACACAAAAAGATCCGATACATTCTTCATTGAGGCATTGTAGCTCCCCATTGGTCCTTCAACGCTAAACTGGAATGAACATGCGTTCATTCCAGTTTCCAGACCACTAATATCGCTACTAAATAGTAGCTCCCATTTTGTCCTTCAAACGAGGATACATTTGAAGGCCGCTCTCCATCACCACCGTGGACGTAATACGAAATTTGGGAAGACAATTGAAGGAACTGTTATAACAGAATCTAAACCGATAAAGACAAAGAATAACACACAGATTTACGTGGTTCATCAAATTGGCTACATCCACGGGCAGACAGAGTTACAGATTACAAAGACGGCTAAGGTTTACATAGCTACTACTCTACCAGAATTGAGCTGCAAGACATCGGCCTAATATACAAAATAGACGAATCATTAACGGCCCGGGGCGAAGTCCCCTTGGACTGGGGACGGGGGACTTCGCGCCCCGGCAGCGAGACCCCAGTACTACGTGTCAAAGTGTGTGATTCAGACTTTGGATTTAAGTCATCACAACAGGGACACGCGCGGATAAATTCAAAAAACCGAACCAGAATAGTTGCTACTACCTTGCAACTCTGGTAAGTCAAGTCTTTCACAGCTCCAGTATAAAGACCCGCATGCACATATATCACAAAGTTCTTCAGAGAAAGCCCTCAGGTCTAACCTCATCTCACATTTTCTAGCTCGAACAGACTAAACCAATAGCGAGAAAGGATGATTCTAGCCTACACCTTGTCGAGCCAGCAATCCCTAACGGTGAAGGTAGGCAGTCTCTCTGACTCCCTACCATAACTCAAACTGAATGCGTTTGGTGATAAAAATCAGGGAACCCACCTGGAACGTCACGAACTTGTTGTCAGATGCTGGCTCCAGTTTATCACTCTGCAGCCAACGATCTGGGTTGAACAGTGCAGCATCCAGACCCCAGATAGACGTCATTCGAGCCATAGAATATGGTGCAAAGAAGACGTTCCCTTTCTGGCTGCTTATGAAGACGTCTCCTGCTGGAAGTGTGTCGTCTTCTTCTATGTCCCTCCCGTCCTGCACGAGGGGCAAGCACAGCTGGTTACAACACCTTACCAATCTATATGAATCAGATTCATGTTGTGGCAATTGGGCACCATATAATCTGTTGAAAGGTCGAGTCTCCTCGTTATGTGGTCCTTTGTCTAGCCATGTTATGATATTCAGGGCAATATCTATTCAGGGCAAATCGAGGTCTACAAAGATGAAGATGAAAATCACGTTCCAAAACCAACGATGAAGGAAGACCTGGCTCATGAGACATACAAGAGGCACCGCAGGGTGAAGTCGAAGTGTCTCCTGAAGGCAAGCATGCAAGAAAGGCAGCTCGTCTAGAGACTCAAGGTGAGAAGCGCAGCAAATTCACGAATTCGTGAGTCCATCAAGCGAACGTAGTCCTCGTCTTGCATGTCGACATCCCAATACTGCTCCACCGAACATTCACATTCGAATTGTCTCCGGATCTCATAGTCTCTGAGCTCTAAGTACAGTCTGTGTGACGCATCTGAGTGCATACTCAGCTCGTAGACAAGCCATGTGAGTGTCACCCCATTAACATCCCGACTGGCGATCACGAAGTTGATAAGTACAGTCTGTGTGACCCATCCGAGTGCATACTCAGCTCGTAGACAAGCCACGTGAGTGTCACCCCATTAACATCCCGACTGGCGATCACGAAGTTGATGACAATATGCCGCAGTAATTCGTCTGTCTGGGTGTTGTCTGCGTTGTCGTCTCTCATCGTGAGAGACGACAACGCAGACAATCACCCAGACAGACGAGTCATCATCGTCAGGGTGAGAAATTTGGAAACGAGATCTCTCGCATATGGGGTCTGCAGGCATGACCACAACAACTGAGCTCGAATCTATATCTCAGATTATCATCCATTGCACGAGGACCACGATCTGTGCACCTGTGACTGACTACGCTGGTGCCACCAGCTGCAGCAATTCAGAGAGCAAGATGTGAGATGAGTGAAACATACTCCTTCGACGTGAGCCAGGTAAGCTTGAGTCAGATCGTAAACTTGCCCATGAAGATGCTTGAGCTCGGCTTTTCTGTCAGCAATCAGGCTAAAGGTAAACCCATCCACTACTTGCATTTGCTCCGAAAACACGCGCTCTGTACCGATGTTCAAGTACCGTTTGAGCTCCCAGAAAGGATCACTGAAGCGCTTGACCGCGATGGTGGTGGCCAAGTCCAAAGATGAAGCGAACGCGATGTGTGGCCATGGCTTTGGAAGAGCAGATGGCAGAGAGGCAAAGTCTACTCCAAACGCCACTTTTCCGATCACATCCAATGTCGCCCTTTGAAATAAATCCTGTCATCGTCGACAAGGCAAACACATGTCAGGTCAGTTTGGTCTTGCCCAAAGTAATAATCGGCATCCGAGACTCTCTTTTCTAAATTGTTCCAGGAGTGCGAAATGTTTTGTGCCCATCCCTTTTCTTCGTCGACCTCAACCCAAAGGCTGTAGTCGGATCTGCAGAGGTTGGCGATGGGCAGCTCAGACCAGGAACCTCCTTGGACAACATAAGTGGTATTACTTACTTGGATGTCCACGGTGGTGCCTTTTCCAGCTACTTCAGCCAGAGGCCGAGCGATTGTACAAGTTTTCTTCTTCATTACAGCAGCAGTAAGGTCGCAGACCGAAGGTTTGCAGAACTCCGAGGCCACCCACTTCCTCATAATCCACGACTCATGAAGCTCTTTCTGGCCCAGCAATACTTCCATGCGCTTGAAGAAGCCTTTGCCCTGTCAATCCAAGCCCATTACGACAGCACATCAGAGACACAGCCCATCACAAACTATGGTCTGCATGGAAGACGAGACGAGATCCGAAGGCGAATTGGGCTGACGGGACAGACAGACCTTGCGGAAGTTGACGGAGTTCGTTTCGAGCAAGTACTGGACATTGATTGGATCCACGGTGCAGTAGAAAACTCGGCCCCAGGGCATGCGGACGTGAATGGTTTTGGCGAAGAGGAAGAACCCCAAGAGCCAATCGTGTAGATGACAGTAATGCGCCGAGATGTCGCGGACGCTGCCCAGCAAGGGCCAATATCTCGGCCCCAGACGAGCATTCTGCTTCAACCTGTAGAAGCAGACGCAAAGCACCAGAAGCACGATGACACAACCCAGCTGTAGAATGTAGCTGCTGGACTCGTAAGCCGTTCTCACCATGGCCTGGTACGTCTGGAAGTAATTCTGATACTCCTTCTCCGAGTACGAGAGGGCCATTTGCTCCACCATGTTCAGAATCTCCGAATCTTCGTAAGCCTTTGGTGTTTTGAGAAGCAGTTTGCTCTTCACCGTGCAGAATCACGAATTTGTGTGCGCGTGTCTAGAGCATCTACATGTTGCAGACGAGGGCTTAGTAAAGTGCCTTGCACCCGGCGATTTCCACAACCACGAAGGGATTGATTGTAAGCTTAGCGACTGCTGGCCACATGCTGCCTTCAAGACTTTCTCTGATCCAACAACTTCACTGGGCATGCAAACGCTCCATGGCTCCGAATTGAGATTCAAAAGTGGTGTGGCCGTTGAATGGCATCTGCTTTCTGGTCGGTCTTTACGGGCTACTTGAGTGTACAAGAGCATCCATAGCAAGGCCCAAACTTCAAATTATGGCACCGTTGAAACAGACACGCGTTGTGAATTTCGAGCTTTGAACACGCGGGATGACGATGACGCTCGATGACGCTCGAATTCGTGCACGTTGGGAGCGATTTGATTTGAAATTCAACTGTTATGAAGGCCGCGGCACGAGGCTCGATGCCGAATTGGAAGGGGCGCGGGGCTCGATCGGGGAGAGGCTTCTTGCATTCTGAAGGAGCAGCAGCAGGACGAGGAGGACGAGGCCCTGGCATGAGATGAGGTTGCGGAAGCGATGGTCGGTCTTTACGGGCTAGTTGCATATATATACATATGCTTTGCATTCCTCGTAAATTAGATTGCTTCGAACAGACATCTTGGGAACCAACCAAAAGACTCTAGACACCCTCAGTGGCACTTGAATGGTTTCAACTTGGTGAGATACGTTTTCTGTTGGTTCCCAAGGCTAACGAAAGCTTATCAAATTCTTAAGAAGATTTCAAGATGTCTGTTCGAAGCCATCTAATTTACAAGTAATGCAAAGCAATTGGGAAATTTATCTGATTTTCCCTCATACCCAGTACAGGCTTTGGATAGCGCCGAAGAGATTCACACGTCAATGTCTCAGGTCTATGGTTCATTTATCATCTTCATAATTTTGTTTGTTTCAGTGTCTGCATGGCGCATATTTCATATGCTGAACAACATACTCCATTCACTCTTGAGAGTTAATAGAATTTTTTCTCCCCGGTCACGACTTAGGCGGAACAAAACAGCCCACTACTCCAATGGAAAAGTGTAGGGAGTACCGAAGGCAGAAGAGACCTTTTGACATGGTACCTCTCTCGAAACTAAAGCTTCATTAATGTGTTATGATCCAAAACATTACGGACACAATTCGTTTGCATTTGAAGTGGGAATGTAAACTAATTTGGTATTGCAAGTAACTAATAACGTAGCTCACAGCTACCAACACGTAAGAAAATACAGAAATTAAGACTCTGCTCGAGCTGGAAGAGAAACGCATTTGTAAAGTACCAATCTCACAGGTGATGAAGCTTGTGATGCAAAAATGAAAATACGGAGCCTTTTCAATGAGAGGCCACCAAATTTCCAACACGTAGTCAATCAGGTATGAGATCTTATGGACCCATCTTTGCTAAAGATTTATAGTTTTCAAATATACAATGAATATTCGCGTCTGAGTTTCCGAGAAATGACAATACAAATTCTGAGTTATGTCTCTAGGAGACATGTCTCAGGCAGATTCTGCGCAGGTTGTTGGGACTTTACTCTTTTCACGGGAAAAACGCTTCGAGTCCTTTTAGAATACCCATCGGCATTATACCACGTCCGCGACACATTTCACTACCAGCTGCCCTGGTCTCATCAGTGACCAGACTGGGATCCAAAATCGAGGTCGAGCGACCGCAAGCTTGTCCCGAGCGCTACCAGAGTTCGACGCTTTCTTGGCCACGAATTTCGTAAGGCTCCCAAGAGGGAAATCTACTGACGACATCTCCCAATCTCCAGAGGCGGGAAGAGGAGCAATTCCTTCGTGCAGTGCCTGATTACCAGTCCCGATTTCGACGAACTCCAGATTATACCGCCTCTTGTAGTCCCAATTACATGTCAAGATTCCAACATTATCGAGGACCTCAAGCACGTAGCAACTTTGATTCAAGCGGATTTGCCCCTCTTATATTACAATCAAGATGTTGTAAACCTTGCTTTTAATCTTGTTTTTCATGCTAAAATGAAACACATCAAGGTCAAGCATCACTTTGCAAGGAAACAAGTTTTAGATGAGGATATTGCACTTGATTACATACACATAGATTACAATCTACCTGATCTTCTGATGAAGCATTTGCCGACACAAGTTTAACAAACATTGTCATTTTATTGGTATGTGATCACTGGCGGAATTACAAAAGTTTTGCTAGCCGATATTCTAGCTTGATCGTTGCCTATTGCTGCCAACCAATCTTTATAATTGGGCTTGATCTTCCAACGTTCCTTGCTTACCATCTCAACAATTGCTAACAATCTAACATAAAAAGACCAAGATATCCGCAAGCACAGAATTACAAGCCACTAATATCTTCAGCGCCGTGTGAGAATACATTTCGATTAGCGTGTTGACTCCAACCTTGATGCTTGCAGCACCAGCATCTAGTTCAGATACAATTATCTAAAGAAAATTCATGAAAACATCATCCAACTTCAAAACGCACATCACAGCACAAAGACTCGACATCGACTTATAACATGGATCAAAGATCGGCTCGCTGTGCTTGCCGCCAGCGAGCCGTCTTCATCGTGAGCATTCGTTAGTGGCGATGGCAACGCTCACATAAAACATCAAGTCTCAACGCTCTTAATCAAAGTTGCTATTTTCTCTAGAAGCTGTGATTGTGTACGAGTCCTAATCTCAAGATCTGTTGAATGTGTTGATAACGAGGAGAATGTTTGTCACCTACGCATTACGATGGTGCAGGGTTCAGCAGAATGGGCAATTCCTCTGGTATCACTTCAGAATGGCTCAAAGATCAACGGTTCATATCATACTTCAGAGTCAAAGTCATATTTTATTTTTTTAATTTTTTTAATTTTTTAATTTTTATTTTTATTTAAAGGAAAGACATGTGATTGACTGACTGAGGGAAGACATGTAATCTTCTCAGCTTCCACAGAGGTCTTTACTTCACGCGCTCCCTCCTCCCTCAATCGACTCTCTGCACAAAGCTTTTTCCTGCTTCCGTGCACACTCAAACTCAGCAGAAGTATACTGTGTAACAGAATCTTTCATAGGAGGTTTCTTATGAAACCTCTTTGGTTTCTTATCATGGTTTTGGTTCCCTGTATTTTAAAGTGAGTGCCCAGGATCAAGACATTCGTCTACCAACTGCGAATTAGCGAAAGGTATACTCTCCTCTTGTGGGCAAGTCATGGAAATCTTGTTTTGAGGCCTTGCGAACTTTGTCTTGTCAAGTTTGAGTGCAGGACTGATCGAATGTTCCAGTCCTCTGTTGAGAGAGCTAGAACGCTGATCATTTTCATACTCTACAGACTTCGCCTTTCTATGCATATCCTTTGCGTGCTGCGGAAACAGCGACGTATGTAATGCTTGAGACTTTGAAACGTGTCTCACTTTCTCCTTTCTCAGAATTACCTTCCTCTGTTGAGAAGTAATCGTTTCCCTCGTCAAAGTTCCATATAGTTCCAGCTTCAATGCTTCCAGTTCCTCCTTGCTGAAGACCACCTTTGTGCGATCTTCTGACTATCGAGGTTGCTCCTTGCAGTACCAGTCAGTTTCTCTCAATGTGTTTAAACTCCCCAAAGTCTCAATCCTGAATGGTACGGTCTTCCTGGTTGGAGACGACTCTTGCAAACGTTCATCAAGTTGTTTGGTTCTGGGCGTCATAACTGAACTGAAGCATAACTGAAGGGCAACAATCGATTAACAGCTTCATGATTACACCACAATATCTATCAGACATGACTCCGTTAGGTGAGTCCTTTTGTACAAAATCTCACCTACGTATGGGAAGTAGTCCTGACGAAGAAATGTGGATGTCGTCGTGTCGAATACTTGTTAAGCTTTATCAACATTTCGATCTCCCTGTTCACAGCCAAGATCGATTGCAAAATGGCAGGCGCAAAATGCATGAGCATCGAAGGTTCACTTCACTTCACTGCACAGAAGTCTCAAAAGTCAAGAAATCGCGTTGGGGATGCACTCGTTCCTGATACCGGAACGACATCTTCTCGGACGAGACTGTTTTCCTAGAAACGAGGGCTCGGGCGATAGACACGCACGCAGCACACAAAGCAATCCTGGTGAAGAAATGACAGCAATTTCCTTGATTGATGCTGATTATATCCCCCAAATTTCCGTGGACTCGAACTGGAATGACGAGTCAAAATTCAAACCATCGAACCACTCATGCACAATCGCAGTCAATCCAGAGGTTTACAGGCACAGTTGAGTTACCAGGGCGAGTGGACGAACATAACCACAGCGCTCTCAGGTCGGAGATCAGAGGAAAATTGCTCACGTGAACCATTTTCTCAGAGGTTAATGGCTCACAATAGCGGACGGACTGCCTCACCTCCGTCATCAGAATCATCTACGTTAGAATCATTCTCAGAACAATTGCATATCCGTCAGATTCTGAGTGTTTATCCGCTCAACTCGATCGTATAGTGACAGGGTGGACTTGAGATCAATAGGTTTCAGGTTCCAGCAGTTGGATGGAAGTCTGAGAGAAGAGGGGAATGATGTGAATGGCCCTGACCTTGTGGGTCGCCAAGCACATGTGATGCTCGGCATGTGACCCTGTGTGCATGAAGATCAGATGGCACCACACCCTTGTGACTTGATAAGGCCGAGCACGTTCTGGGCGTGCGAGGCATTCCTTCTCGCGCACAGAAGCGGTTCTGTGTTCAGCAAGCCAATCGTTTCTCCATGATCGCGTCGTGCATCCCATTCTTCGCTCCACCGAAGCAGGTTGTGATCTACCGAGCGACTTCAACAGTTACCAAAATGATTGCCATAGTGAACGAAGAACTAGGTGAGTGCTCAAATTCATTCTCTATGGCAGATCTTGTTTTACATGTGCGGTGCACCTCTGGGGAGAAAACATATTTCTGTCAGGGATCAACTCGGCAACATCTATCTTGCCAGTTCATCATTTTGGTCTGAAACTAGGATGCTGCCCTGTTTGCAGAATCCAAGCGTGTGGTGAGAAACATCTCTCAACATACAGCGAGGCTGGATCAAATGGAGATATTCTGCTTCCTTCTCAAGGTAAGTCATAGCACAGGAGGAGAATGACATCAGCCTATTGCACAGAGCCCCACTTCTTTCTTCATGTTCACAGCAAGCATAAAAATAGATATGTTACACATGTTTTGCGAATTGAATTTCTCACCCAGGAATCTTCTTATCGGACAAAACTGCCGCTGACCACAGTGCAGCAGCAGTGGGGTTGCAATAATTTTCTCATTTATTGAAACTAGGATGCGTAAGATTCGTAGAAAGGAAAATGTCAATCTCGAATCGAATTATGTGCAGCGTTTCCAGGCACATCGACGGGAGAAAAAGTGACCATCTGTGAGCACAGTGTGCGCGCTGGTGTGTGAAGCTGTTGAGGGATGCGGCTCGACGTGCGAAGAAGAAGACAAGCAAAGTAGTCGGGAGTGGATCAGATTTCTGCCATATGTGCTCCAGGGAGCACAACGACTGTGTTCTCCTGCGCACCCGATATCTTCAATGGTCGCGCTGGGCACAACACATGCCATGCCGATCACTCTTCGATTCTGAAGATGTTTGGACCCTATGTACAGCTGTAGCACGTCCCTGAGCTTCTCTAGTGCTGGTTCGACAACCATATCAGGATCCACTCCTGAGCGTTGGGCTCAATACAGAGCAAAATGTTGCTCACGGTGTTTAGCAAGGTCTTAATACTCGGGAAATGTCTGAAATCGGTCGTCTTCTCGTGCATCCGATGCCTAATTTGGAGCTCAAGTTTTTGCTTCCCTGAAGAGAGCAGCAGCAGACACATCAGATACATCAGACACAGAAGACACCGCAGGCGCAGATCTAATGCTCTATGCCCTAGCCAGAGACAGAGCAATGTAGGCAGCACCTCTGAAATTACATGCGCATGACTTCTTCATCATGGTGAGTACTCTTGCCTGTCATGAGCATTCTCCACTTTCTACTGATGTTGGATCGACACCGTTGGGAATGAAACTTCTCATTTCCGCGATTCCTGAAGACATTGCAAGATGTACAGAAAGAAAAAGACAAGAGATTTCATCTCAAGCCGTCTGCATCGAACTGGCCAGTTCGATAAAAATCCCTAATATCTGATGTGCACTAACCTGCACTGCACTGACTAGTACGTTCGTTCTCAGTAGAATTCGGTTTTTAAGGTTTGAGGTTCAAACTTGCTCTCACGTGCTTAGCAGCGGAGTCGCGGTGCATCAGTTCTTCGGGACTCTGCTCCCTCCACAGGAAACGATGAAGTCCAGAATCACTCTTTCAAAGCCTACGAGGCAACGACTGCTGTTACGGCGGCATTAAACTGATCAGCAGAAGTACGTCTTTGTTGCTCAAATCGTTCGTTTTCCTACAACTGCTTTTAATGATGACGCTATCCTGCTGCTCGACAAGACGAGCATCATGCTTTTCTTTCTCGTTGTTTCTATCCCCATGAGAACTCTATCATTCTAGCACTCTAGAGTTTATGAAGTGAGCTGTGTAGAAAGATAAGAGGGCATTAGTGCTAATCCAAGCGACTTCAAGCGGATTTTGTGTATAATGAGTTCTCTTTACAGATTGACCAAGACATGATTGCAGATGTTCTCGACTCAACCAACATTGTTTCTGGAAACACGAGAAGGAAGCAATCATTGTAGTTTCCAACTTTGGATGCTGCCAATGCAGATCATGTGACGAGGCAATATTCATCTGGTGTCGTGGACAAATTGTTGCAAGGAATCTTACTCATGGTGAGGAAACCTTTGCAAGCAAGTTCGATCAGAATCCAACGGGAGAAAGTAACTTCATTACGGCTTCCTGTTTTCTGATATCGTCGCTACTTTGTCTCCTCCAGCGCCTTACACAATCCTCCGTAGAATTTCTTAAGTCCACGGATTAATCTTGTATGGATTTTGTTTTAATACAGATACTAGAAAAAACAGTCTGGAAGATAGCACTTGCATGGAGCAATCCATATCAGTAGAAAGTGATGAACTGAAAAGATCCGGGGCATCATTCTGGTGTCTATTGTTTGGGATGCACCTCGAAGCCGGCTATAGCGTGATGATATGGTCCACCTGGTTTAGTGCAGACTATTTCCTCTGGGGAATCTTGGCCTAAGTAAGTGGACATAAAGGACATTTTTGATGCAGTCAAAGTCCATGGTTTCAACAATATTAGTTCAACCCCACCATGCTGTCAGAGCTCTTCATACTCAAGAATGATAACGAGAATCCTTTGATCGTAAGGACCATAAGAAAGGCTGTTCATTCAGTTAACTGTGAAGGAACAGACCGTTGAAAGCAAGTTGCTTCAACATTCTTATGTACTTGTATTTGTAGATATCATCATGATCACGCTCTAGGATGATCTACGAGAGATCAAAACTGACTCGAGAAACTCTTGTTGCCTTTACCTGCTTCTTTTCATTTTGTAAGAAACTTGAATAGTCTGAGAAACCATCTCTGTTTGCATCCGGGTCCTCAGATTTGAGGATGGGAGGGCATTCTCTAATATCCGAAAAAAGGATGTATACAGTTTCAATGAACATTGTCACGATGTGCTCACTGAATGCAAGATATCTTACTACTTTCTTCGTTTATTGACAGCACCTTTTGACTTGATAATGAATATTTGGTACTGTATATGGAAATAGTTTTCAACCAGCAATTGACTCGTCTCGGTTTCACCTCACTAACTGCGTCATTGCCCCAAAGATGTATGCTCTTGTATCTACTCTGCAGATGCCCTTGGATTGAAGTGTAGTGTTATCACACAATCAATCATAGCAGTCTCCGAGCGCACAAATGTCACACAGTAGTTAGTTCGTGACTGGCACTTTCTGTATGACTGCTATTAAAAAATCTTCGACAATCTCAGTCCTACCTTATAAACTAAGATTCCCGAGGAGGCATAATTTCAAACTCGATATGATAAAATGTATTATGGTGGTGGAAGACCTCATTCTCGTGTATGTATGAAACTTCTGCCTTGCCTCGGATTGGTCTGACGAATTGAAGTCCTCCGAGTGTCATGATCATCCACCAGTATGCTAACAAATGCAAATGTGCCAGTCTGTTTTATATTATCTAGAAAACAGTGCACGGGACATGTCACTTTACTGAACAATTCTTAGACATGTAAGAGATCGTAGTCATTGATACTCTACCAGAGTCGCAAAAGTAGCCGGAACCCGCCGTCAGATCACACAAACCCGAATGGGAGAGACTTGCAATACATGGTCGTATGCTATCCTCTAGAATGGAACTGATTGGCTGAAACCTGCCGTCAGATGTTCCACAAAATTTCAGTAGAAAAGATGGCATAAGACATAGCTTGTTTGTTTTCACTTAAATGATCTGTACATGTATATATCACCAAATGCTACTACAGTTATGGAAGAACACGGCACAGATATTTTCCTTCAAGTTTGTGGGTGGGTGGTGTATGCATGGGCACACAGGGCGCAAGTCAAGAGGTTTTGAGTCAAAGTCTGAGAATATTATGGAAAGATTTGACCGGGTCTTGAGAGAACTTGACACAGAAAAAATCATTTCTTGAGCGTAGAGTGGGTACACAAGATCGCTTTGCAGTATGTCCAAAGAAGCTGGGTGGAATCATGGGCCTAATATGGGATTCTCGCCTGATATGGAATCATGGGCCGGATTATTTTCTAGCGGAAAGCTTCAATACAAACCTCGGCATGATACTCAAAGATGTGAGCATCTGCTTTATGACTTGTTACGATTTGAAACAGTCACTTCGAAACTAGAATGGATTATGCTCCTGTAACATTTAGAGACTGCTACAAGGCTGCACTTCTGTAAGCAAGATAAATGACCGTCATTTAAATTCAGCACCAATAAGCTTCGAAACATAATTGTTACAATTTCAGAATCTCCAAGTGCTTCAAATACTTCCACCGGCCTAATATGTGATGTGAGATGTTTCATTTCAAGAGTGAACAAAGAGTTGTTATGTTTCGACAGCTCGATCCACATGCTCGGCAGAACTTCAGGACACATGACACTGCTCAAGTAGCTGGAGTGGATTAGACGCTCATCAATGTTTCAAGATATTCGACCGACACATTGAGATAAGAGTTCAGTTCAGTTCTTTCCAAGTGCCAATGTGCACTCAGACTCTTGTGGAAAGGACCGCACAATCAGAACTCCTTGCAGTCCTTGTGACAGACACATGAGCGCACAACGGTACTCACAAAAATGCTTGCTTCGAGCAGCAAGCTCTAGGCTATGGTGTGTTCGAATGTCACATGTCCTGTTAAAGGCCTCCGCATAGAACTGGTATCATGCGACGACGGAGACATCGTCGAGGACAGAACAAGATCTTACTTTGAAAGAACAATTCTTTACAGTCGGTGAAAACAAAACAAGTGGGAAAACTCCTCCACTATCCCGGGACACACTATACGGAAGTCAAAGATGGAAGGACGCTTTGTCTGTGAATGAACTTTCTTACAGTCAGGGGTCAACGTTTCAATGTGGACCATTTCTATATTATCAAGCCAAGTGGAAAGGAGGAACACCATGTGGACGCTGAGGGCGAAATCAGACCTGAGATATACAATTCGGTATGATCAACTTGTAGAGCCCGAACAATTCTATTCGATTAATCGGGAGCGAGGTTCGAGTGGAAAATTTTAAAAGCTGTTCATATGCGCATTTCATATCATCTGCTAGATTCGAGCAGTTGAGACAGCATGCCAACTAGCGTTGCCGAAGAGCACGGCTCCCCTCGTGCCCGAAACGCCAACTGCATCGAAGCAGTTCAGTACAAGTGTGATCTCATCAACGCCTTCTCTTGAGAAAGAGCAGTTGGTGCCATCTAAGCGCTGACTCGGATATGTTTGACCAATTTCAGCGTCGAAGCTTCAGATATCTGATAAACACTTCCAGGCAGAAATCGAAAATCCAGGAGCGAAATAACTCAAAGTCAACCCCCGAACTAAAACAGGCAATCGGTGGTGAAAACAGCCAAGGCCAGTCGCCCAACATTCGGAGTCCAGAAACTCGAGCTGAGCGTCGTCTCACGATGCAGTTGGCAGCCAGTTTTAGTCGAAGCTCAGCGTACGTGCAAACGGGGGGTGTACGTGAGAGAGACCAGAAAACAGCCCCAAGTTGCTTCCGTTCTCCATGATTTTATGCAGCGCACGAGCTGGATTCACACAACCCAGTCGTCAGTGAATCCTACCTCGGAGATGTCCGCGCAGCTCACAGTCCAAAATAAACCATCCCATCCGCAGAGCTCCCTTCGAGATCCTCCCCGACCCCGACCCGCAGAAGTCTCACACCTCAACTGCGCAACTCGGCGCAGTTGAGGTGAAAGAGATTTTACCGCCGGACGTGGTAAACTGAGGGCGGACGTGGTGGGGTCCGCAGTCGGCTCTTTGTACTTTAGTTTCAAAAGCGAGTTTTGTCGCGACTAGCTTCCCACAATTCCGGCTTCGGAATTGATAGTGGCTCTTACGCCTCGGCACCGGGTCGAACCGGTGACTTCCGGTGCACCAGCGGGCGTTGCCGCAACCTTATCGCTACCTATCGCCGCCAGATTCCGGAAGTGGAGACTGTCTGTCGTGAGGTCGGAGATTCGAGTTGCTGAAGATGCAATCGCCATGCAGAAGAGGAAGGGGAGGAGCACGAGGACGAGGAGCTGGGAGTCGGTGTACTCTACAGAGCGACGAGGTGTTGGTTGGAAGGCGGAGGCGCATGCACGAGGGGCGTGATCGAGCTCTCGTTACGAGAAAAGATGTTGGTGCAGCAGGGCGGCGACTGAGAAAGGAAGAGATGAGAACAGAAGAGATTAGGAGAGAAGGTAGAAGGCGTAAATGCGCATTCGCTAAGGTCGAATTAGAGCGAGCTCAATTGGGCGATGGGTGTGGGCAAATCGTCACGACTGCCAAGGAAGAGAGGAGGGGGGAGGCGATTGATTGTGAGCGGGAGGGGTGGAAGAGGAGCACCACGATGTATTGTGATCGAACAGACGACGACGAGAGATTTGAGACAGTCGAAACGCAGATGGTAAATAAGGCGAATGAAAAGCACATGGCGGGATGCATTGCTGTCAGAAGCACTGAGTAGAAGCAACAGCAGCAGCTGCAGCCGGACCCGTTCGCTCGCTCGCTCGTTCGATCGATCATGAGCAGCTTTGGAAATTGTTCACAGGCTCGAATCCCCACCTGTAGCCCCGAGGGTGGATCTGGACCCACAAGTCTGTGCACCCGCCACTGTGTCGGTCCAATGAAACCGAAATTCTTTACAATGGTACCGGTGCTGTCGATCGTTAGACATCTTCGCTTCGAAGGCTGTCAAATACTAACGCCATGGACCGACCCGCCACGGATCTGGACCCACACGTCCAACCCTTCGAAATGTCGGTCCAATGGGAAAAAAATCCAAGATATAAAAGAAAAAAAAGAAAAGGCCAAGTCTTAAGGGCTCGATCGCCCCATTAGCTTCGAAAGCCGAACTGATTTACAGAACTTAATGATATTATACTCGCACAGACAAACAGCAGCGGAATTTGCCGAGAACAACTCCAGGATTTGTCACACAATGACGAGGAGAAGTAGTAGCAGTAGTGGTATAAATATAAGAAGCTCGAGCCAGTCCAATCGAGAAAAAAGTTGGAATATCGTGTCTCGAAATCTATAAAACTGCAAAAATTGGTAATGCTTAAGTGTCTGACTATTCAGTCATTCGACGAAAAAGATGAACGGATCCAGAGATATTATGGCATGACTTTCATCCGAGGGGCCATAAAAACATCTGCAGGACACATGATGCGCTGAACAAAGCCGTTTGTCGAAAGGCTAAAAGTTGTTGATCGAGAAAACTGGTGGATGATACAGTACAGTAGGGCCTTATGTACATATGGCGCCATCCAAATTCACCTGAAAAACTGCAACTCATGCATCTGCTAGGGCACCTTTTGTCAGTTAACAAATGCATGCAGCTGCCATGCGAGATGAGTCACCAATGCAACTTAAGGCACTGAAATCTAGCTCGAGAAGAAGAGGGCCCCCAAGTGCGTGCCGTGATGCGTCTGTCTGATGTTTCGCCAGCAACTAACTACCTTCAGGCGGGTGGATGATCGTGATGCTGCGCGTCCTGATCATAATTCCAGAAGAGTCCCGAGCTGAAGTTGCGTTCGGCTGTCATGTATTGGGAAGTGGGTATGTGGTCGCTCAGAGGGCGTTGCACAGCTTCCTCGATGAAATTCTCCAGATCGAACGAGGCGTCGGCAGCCGCTGCGGCTGCTACCGCAGCTGGCAGCAGATCACTCGCCTGATTCGGTGCCAATGGCGACGCTTGGACGTGTACAGTGAGATTTTGAAATCTCGAGTCGATGCTCGGATTGTCCAGCACCGAACGTCGCTGCTGCTGCTGCAGCTGTTGCGCCAGGATGAGATCGAGCGCATTCTGAGCTAATCCTGCTCCTCCGGCCCCCGCCGCCTGCTGCCATTCGGGTCGCGTAAGTTGCATGGCTGCTGAAGCTACCACGGGAATCATGGATGTCGAAGCCTTTTCCAGCGTACCTTCCTCTGCCAGGGTCCTCCAGCTGCTGGTGGCGACGGATGGTACTTCCGAGCCTCGCCAATCGCAATTCACGTCCAAGGTCAGAGATGGCCACTGGCTTCCTCCTGAGATCATGTCGTTCTCGTCCCGCGACCATACGTCGGTATTTATCGAAAATTGCGAAGAGTAGACAATCTGCTGCTGCTGCTGATGCTGCTGCACCTGTTGTGGAGGCATCGGTACCGAGACAGCGGCAGCTGCTGCGATGACAGTGGCTGTTGCGGCATGTGGCGGGGCCGCAGCAGCAGACTTGGGCGCAGCGGGCGAGGAGATGGAGTCTTTTCGAGCGTCCGAGGGAAGCGAGGGGACTCGTCGGGGCACATTTGCAGCTTGAGCTGCTGCAGCAGAGCCGGGCACCGGGCCGACGGAATCCGGGAAATTGAGCTTCGCACGCTGACCTCGGAAGTCGATGGCAGCTTTGTCGTAAGCTCTAGCAGCCTCCTCGGGAGTGTCGTAGGTGCCGAGCCACACGCGCGTTGCTTTCTTCGGGTGGCGAATTTCGGCAGCCCATTTTCCCCAGGCCCTCTGGCGCACCCCTCGGAATTTCTTTCTTTTCGCGGCACTGGCGGATTCTTCGACTGCGGAGGATTTTTCCTCTGCAAACACCACGCAATCAAGCACACAGAAGCCTCCGATCAATACTCATGGATATGGCCCGACCTCCCAAGTCTCACATATGATTTCTGTACCTCAACCTAGATCGAACGATACGAGACGATACGGGATGAGATGAGACGAGACGATGCGATGGAAGTCGCTCTTTTTTCTTCGACCTCGTCTGCAACCACTGCACCCACAGAACAGATAAGAACTCCACCACGGCTCGTTATCAGCTCCCCTCACCAGAATCACAGCTTCAATCAGAATCACCTCAACATCGTCACGACTTACTTACCTCGGCAGCGGACTCCGGGACCCTCTACAAACAATGGGTCACCACACCACACCACACCTCGGGGCAAAACTCCTAACGAACTCACACGACGAAGCAATGAAAGCACAATGAGGGGACGATCGAACGAATGGTCGATGCGGAGAATCCAGTCCATGCCATGTGCCATGCCCGTCCCACACGGTCCCGAAATAGAGTGCTCACTACTACTTCCCCTAGAACCACCACCACTAGTTCTACTACTACGACAACTACTGAGGAGGAGTAAGTAACCAAGTACATACCTCGAGATTCGTCTACCTAGAAGCTAAGTTAGTTGAATACTTGCCTTTTTCGGTGGTGATGCGATTGCCTCTTTTATGGAGTAGACAAGCACCTTTGTAATCATTCTAGCAGCGCTAGCCGCATGCGCACCTTCTGGCACTCACCCTTTCATGCATGCTAGCCACGGAACCTCCGGAGTACTGTACTTCATCATCCCGAGTTCAGTCTCAGTGTCGGCCTAAAGCACTGTTCCATTGTCCTGTATTCAAATCCTCCGAACTCTGATACTGAACTTGGAACTCGTATTTGTCAGGCCATCCGAATTCACTCACTTCTCGGAAAATGCAGTCCCTGAAATTTGCGAAGTTCGGTATCTCACTCACTCACAGTCTCTCTCACATCAAACCAACCGACCAACCGACCGACCATACGGTAGATCCCAATAATGCTCATCATACGACAGCGTTGATCTCTTCCAATTCCAACATCATCATCATCAACAACAACAACTTCACTTTTTCACTTCTTTCCATCTGATCATCTGCATGTGCGTGCGAGAACTATTAGTGTGTGTGCGTGTGTGTGTGGGTGGGTGTTGGAGTTGAACGGACTCGAAGAGAAGGTCGGGAAAGAGTAGTGTACCGAAATTGTGCAGAAGAGGTCTGAGAATTTTGCTTTTCTGCCGTAAGGACCGAGAGAGAAAGACTCTACGGAAATGCAGACAAGACTGGAGGACGGTTAGAAGGAGAGTACCTTCGCCGGGCCCAGAGGGAGCTTGGAGCTCGGAGGTGGAATCTGCCGAACTGTAAGAACTCATGGAATCGGCTCTTCCCACTCTCCGTGCCGAGTTGCGTGCATCGCTGGCCGTGCTCTCTTCAGGAGCAGCTCCGGCCTGATGCAAACCACCGAATGTCCATCCGCCGCCGCTAATTCGATTCTGGTCGCCCGAATTGGCCGCGCTCCAGTTCGAAAAGCCTTGGATCGTCTGGAGGTCCGAGAGGTTGTCGTCCCCGGCACCGAGATTCGAAGTCGCCCCGGCGAACCTCGGAAGCGGTGCAGCTGCAGCTGCCGCCCGAATGACCATCGTCGACGAGACGCCCTCGATCGTCTCCAGCCCCGAAACCGCATTCAGCGTCGGGGCGTAATTCAGGAACTCCGGATCGCCGAGGCTGTTCCACTGGCCCATGCTCGCGGCGCATCCCTCGTACAGCGTCTGCATTGGCGCCTGCTGCGCTGGCCTCGCCCACTGTCGGTTCCCTTTCTGCTGCTGCTGCGCCTGCTGCAAATGCGCTTCGGGTGCTGCGGATTCGGCGTCCTCCAGCAGACTGTCCTCCATATCCCTCCCAGCTCCCTCGCCTTCGAACGGAATCTTCCGATTCTCCCTCAATTCAAACCGCAGATCCCTGTAGACAAGTCCTATTTCCTGTACAAGCCACGGCTCAGGATTTACATGCTTCCTCACCTCGACCTCGACCTCGAGCGAATGCTCTACGTTCCTAACATTCCAAATCTCCTTCTGTCCTTATATATCGCCCTCTGGGTGAGAATTGAGCAGTAAATTCTATATGCTGCTCGATCCTGCTGTACATCTGTGAGCAAGTGCTGTGGACTGACTGCCACGACCGCGACCGAGAGTGCTACCACTACTACTATTACTACTACTTCTTCTTCTCCTCCTTCTCCTCCTCCTCCTTCTCTCCTACTACTACTACTACAACTACGTCCAGACGGACAGACTCCTGAGGCTGGCCAGGTCGAATATCGGTCGAGCTCGATCTCACCCAAAAGAGAGAGCTGTAATCGGAATTCTATCCGGCCCTCGGACACGGGCTCATTAGTTACTGCAGACAAGTGGGATGCAGTTACAGCAAGTGCCTAAGCTCTCTCCTACAGCTGGGGAGCTAGAGCAGCTGCTGTAAACACTTTGGGAATCTTGGCAATTTGCATGAGTGTTCGCCCAGCTGCTTCGCGGGGAAGAGTGGGGTGCACTGAGTCCAGCCGCAGCTCTCGTGTGGCAAGGATCGCAGGCCTTGACTCGCTCGCTAGCTGCCCACCCGAACGGGAATGCTCGCATCGTCCGTCGGCTGCTGCTGTCTGCAGCTGCAACTGGAACTGGAGGCTCACTGAAGATGGGGGCACTTATATACTGGAAGCGTGCTGCAAAGGATCGTCCGTCCTTACGTCAGACGCTGACATATCAACGAACTGAAACTGAAGGCAAATGCAATGCGCTATTTCTGACATTCATTTTACGTGAACTCCACTCCAGGCTCCATGGCACGCTACAAATCGGACTGCATCTCATTTGAATTATGCACCGGATGGTACAGCTGATTATATTGGGACTGTGATATTACGGCGAAGCCAGGAGCGCTGGGGCGAGCGAAGGCAAGCAGGCAGATGGGCTCGGGGCCACGATTTCCTGGCAGGCGACGGGGTTTGTTTTTTACTGTCACGAAAAGTAACAAGGCGTCAGATAGAGCCTGCCTGTGCTGGGCCGAGGGCTCTAATTTTTGCCACGTTTCTCGAGAGAACTCGAACAACAGGTTACAGGTGGTACGAGATATGGCTTAACCGCGTTAACGAACATCATCAGCTTCGGCGCGTGGACGGGGTAATGCCGCCATTGCCGAAGCTCCACGTTATGAGGGCCGAACCGCCACGAGAGAGGCGACTACCTGTCTCTGCTGCGATCGAGGAGACACGACGACACAGTCGGATGGGCCGTCATAGGCCCAGCGGTTTTGCCAATTGCGAAGTCCAGTAAACGCTCCATACATGGACAGTCCCCCTCGCTCCCTCCCTCTCAAACTCTCACTGCGGGAGCCTGTCCTGGTTTAGCTGTACACCATGGCAATGACTGGATCCCAGAGGGGACGACGACGACGACTAGCTGGATGGATGGATGGATGGCTGGATAGACGGACAGAGATGGGCCGTGAGGAGGGAGTGTCGTGAGCGCGACTGCGATCATGCAGATCTGTTGGTCGTTCGGAAACTAGGAAACTATCCCGGGGGGAACAGACTCGACTGTGATTGGGGCCAGAGGTTGAGTCACAAAGTTGTTAGACATGAGATGGGAAGCCGATACAGTAAGTTCCAGGGCCCGGGTACGTGGTGGGTTTTCATTCCCCTCTCTGCCACCACTTGCCAGACTCGCAGATGCTTTTGGGTCAAGTTTGCTCTACTACTTCCAACTGTAAAGACTGGGCGCTCCCGATGTCATTGGCGACACAGTCCGCTGCTCCGCTGTTCCAGTCAACGACCGCATCTCGATGCTAGTCGACAATATTTCCGTTATAAATTGCATGAAACGAGGAGACACCCCAATCTACGTTTCCTCTCCTGAAAGATATGCACAATCCGCATTCGAACTGGATTTCATGCCCCGCTTCACCTGCTTCGCGATCGCCCTTACCTGGATCCTCAAAAATACCTGATTTGCGATTTTGCATGGATACGCTCGCGAGCTAAAGGTTCAGCACCCGCCCCGCGAGGATATCTGAAAAATCATTGCGGCTTATGCCATTCCAGACGCCTCCTTCGAAAGCAAGATTCTCACATATTCTGTCCCGGACGAGGCCAATCGAGCCGTCCGGATTTGGATACTGCGTAGGCATATGATGAGCCGTGGCTATAGTTAGGCACCGGGGTTTCCATGGCCATCGTTGAGCTACGAAGCTCGCTTCCTAGACAGACTTCGCGGACTTTCATCAGACTGTAGTAGCCGGCTCCGGACGACGTTGACTTCCGAGCGGGGAAACTAATTTTAATGGCACACCGAAGGGTGGGGTGGGGGAAGGACTTGTGACATGCAAATGCGCTCGTCGAAATTTTAATGGGCGAACGAATGGCAGTCGATCCGTTCACTCGCGCAGCGATCCTTATCTGCAGTTAGTTAGTTACTGCCCATGTTCTCAAGTTGAGCAAGTTGGAGCGTATGTTTCGGATCGCTAGCAGGGAAAACCTCAAGTTGCCTCGTCTCGGCCTTCATTACATGTGTCCAAGCCTGTGACTGCCAATTTCCGGCCAGGCCGATGTATGTCTTCGACATAAATCGACCTCGCTCACATACTCCACTCAATTTGGAAAGTACTGGATCAATGATTGGCAACTGCTACGCACAGGGTTTGAGGCATGTCTGGGTAGAGCTACCTGATGTAGCTGCCGGTCAAACCACTGCGGATAGACAGAAACATACTTTTCCCGGCCGATCCATCATCCATGCAATGGTTCGATGGTTCCTGTTATTTTTGGCTCAGAATCTATATCTAGAGACATTCTTGTCTGCCCAGCGAGCTCGTTTATGCATTTTCCCAATTTTAAACTCCGCTTGGAGGTTGAATCCTCAGAGAATTTTCACCCTCTGGCTACATCTCGCACAGGTTTCTTTGCGGCAGCAGCTGCTGCTGGTGGAATTATTATGTTGTGTATGTGTGATGGAGCGCGAGCGCTAGGGGGGAAGATGCTCCCAGGAGCTTCTTCTCAGTACCTACCAACGTCAACTTGCAGATACCGTTAAGAAGAAGCCACTTTGACCTTCGGCCCGAGCTCGCATGGCTTTCCAGACTCTAGAGCTGTTACGTTACACGCGCCGATTTCTCAATGCCTCGCACCGGCGGTGGTGAACTGTAAGTTTTCAGAGGCCTGGAAATGCCTGCTGTAAACTGCTGGTTGCGACCAGGATTAACTCACCTTTTTGTCGGTTGGAATTGCTTCCATTCCTCCGTCCCTCCCTCACCTCGCTACTCCTGTTTTTCCGAGTTTCAATGGTGTGGGGCAGTCCCTAGAATGCTAGATGTTTGTCATACCGGCGGCTTTGACATCGTGTACTCTTATCCCATCGCCGGACCCGGTGACGTCAGATCCAGTCGACACACTCACTCCCTCACTCACGCACTCAAATTCTGAAAACTAGTTTTTTCTGAACTCTGGAGTGCGAACGCCCAGCTCTTCCCCCTTCTCTTCTGCTGCGCTGCGCTGTGCTCTGCTCTGCTATCGGCCTCGTTGGCAATTCAAAGCATCTATCCATCCATCCACCCACCAGAGGAAGCGAAAAGGAAAAGAAAGGAAGAGAAAAAGGAGAAAGGAGAAAGGAACAACTGCCGAAAAGGCGTCTATCCAATCGCCCGGCAGCTGGTGCCGGTGTCGGCCAATGGAATGGGGAGGGCCCCGGAGGCCCCAAGTTTCCCGCTTCCCGGCACGATATCTTTCCAGACAGAACCTCATGGAAGCATAACAGAGCCTTTTGCTGTCCAGTCCGCGAACGGGGAAACGACGAGTTTGATTCCCGAGTCAGGGAAGAATCTCCGGCGTTGCACCGCGTTATCCACTTCGAATCTGAGTTGATGCGACTTGGCTTCGAGGGTACCAGAAGTCATGCCATAAGACTTACCCTTTCCGGACATAGAAGTCAGCTCACGAGCTGCTCCAGTTGATGCCGGGTGACCAGCAAGCTGGTTTCTCGAATGCGCATTCGATACTTTCGGTTTTTATGTTGCGCATCAGATCCTCTCCAATATCTTTATATTCTTCGTGTCTGCCTTCCATTGAGATTGCAGAAATTATTGCTCCCCATCAAGGAGTCGAATCGAGTAGCAGGAATGAGTGAAAAAGTTGGGAGCCACGAACTGTTCTTATCCGCTTTCCCGAGATCCTAACAGACCCGGACATTGGCGAGGAGTCAATCACTTTATGGAGAACGGGACGGGACGGGAGGAGAGCATCAGTTTATACGAGTGAGCGAAAGATTCACTCGGAAGCCTTCATTCTCTTCGGCAGCATGGGGATCATGGGGGGTCAAGGGGTTCATGGGGGCCATGGCGAGGCCGGGGGCTGTTGAATGCCCCGAACCTTGATACAGTACAACAAAATCTACTCTCTAGTGACGAATGAAAAACTTGACAGTTTTCACTTCTTCCCTACGACGACGTTCCTCTTTCCCTTTGACTTCGACCATTCCAGGTCTCCAGGCCTCAGACGACTTTCTTCCTAATCTGATCGCACGATCAAACACGTTTTTGTTTCAATACTTTGACGTCACATCACATTTCCCCTCGACCTTTATACGCCGTCTAATGAATCAAATATCCTGCTCGACGGCTCTCCATCAGTCTTCGAGCCAATGACTCCTTTTGCCGCCGAATGATACCCAAGACAACCTCTCAAACTCATAGACTTAGCAAGAAAGGAAGCTCTAGTTCACCGAGCGAGCTTTCATTCCTCTCTTCCAGAAATATCTCCCAAGGAGTGAGTTGGTCAATCTGTGGGCAAATATTCGACCGGGTGACGATATTCATCGAGGTGCGGCATACGAATTCTGGCGTGTAAAGGTAGGACTCACCATCCCAATAGACTTTTCAACATATTTCCCGTACTCTCAAGTTTCAGTCCGTGAGGTCGAGTGACTGAATCGATCAGTCGGTTGGTCAGTCGGCTGTTCGGTCAATGACTGAAGAGGCCGAGTCTTGACTCAACGGCGTCAATCGCAGTCATACGATTGAGAGGTGACGTAGGAGCCACAAATGTCCAATAAAGGGTCTCCCTGGAGGCGGGGACGAGGAGGCAGACCGGAAAGAGAGGAAAAGGGAAAGCGAAAGGACGGCCGGGCTGAGCACAGGTCTGAATGTTGACTTGATTCTAAGCCCTCCCGGGGGCGATGAAGTGAGGAGGAGCAAGTTTCGTGGAAATTTCGCTTATTCCGTTTCGGGATCGGTCGGTACCGGGCCTCTCTGAGCGGCCGCAGCCCCGCCGGACAACAAGTACGGCTCGTTGTCACAACCGTGTTCGAAAGTCAGAGCCATTGCTTCTATATCGAGCTGTGACGAGGCGACCGAGGAGCGAACTTAGGGGCTGTCCTTCTTACGTCACCACGCCCGAAGCAGACAAGCCGGCCCGAATTCTTCCCGTCCTGCTGCTTCCCCGACCGCTTCCCCACCTCCCGGTCACCCCTGCGGGTCCACCATTTCCCACCCCGTCGAAATCCCTTCCGCTCCGACTTCGTAGATTTCTGTTGAAGTAACACCGAGTCTACTTGCATTGCATCCTATGTTCTCTACGACATTCTACAATTTCTTATTGTTTCCTTGTCTTTGTATATGCAAGGGTCTTGGGAAATTATCAGCACTCCTTTTAT